TGTTCTTACAGTTGATAGCTAAATGTTTACATCCAAAACACAGAAAACATTTTCCTGTACGTTTCAAAATGTTGCGTTTCTCTCATCAGCGTTCACCTCAGTACATTTATATTTCGTATGGTCTTCTTTATCACAAAATATACATTTGTATCCAATTGTTGATAAAGCTGAAGCAGTCGGAACTTTCGGTTTATAATTCGGATAAACTTTCGTGCGTTGTTCATTTTGACGAAAGTATGGTTTCTGATTCGTTTTCGCAGAGTTCATTAAACTTGCAGCTTCTCGACAGTTAACTTCCTTTTTTTAAAGAATTCTATAAGTTCCTTTATATCAAATCCTGCTTCCATATTTCGACTTCGATTAAATTCCAAATTTAATTCCTCTGGAAATTTCTGCAAAAATGATAGGACAGAGAAATATTTCCATAACTTCCAGAAGTAACGTTTAACGATTCTAAACTTCGAATGTTGACTTCGCATTCATCGTACAGCTTACGCAGTGCTTTAACATTTGAAATGTTTCCCACTGGTTCAAGGGATAATAATTTATTCATATGCGAGGTGATAACAACATCTTGTCTTCCAAAACGTTCTTTCAATATTTCTATTGCGGAATCATAATTCTGGTTACTTAAAGCGAAACCGGAAATGGCAGCTAAAGCATTACCTCCAAGTAAGGATTTTAGGTACGCAAATTTTTCAGTTTTTCTCAATCCACTATGATTATGAATTGTATTTTCGAATTGGTTCCAAAAGTCTAACCATTTACATGAATCTCCGTAATAAGTTCCGATTTGCAGACGTGGTAACTTCACTGTTTTCGTTTCAACTGGAAGTGCAACATTAGCCGTTTCGTTCTGATGAACTGTTCTAGAAGATTCCGAATTCTTCTTCAAAAATCGTTGCATTCTTCTTCTCCATATAACAGTTTTATCCTGGTATTCTTGACTTAAGGTAACTTCATTTTCAATCTCCTCCGAAGTTACTTTCGTTTCTATTTCTGAATCTAAACTTTTCAGTTCATTGATTTTCTCAATTAACTGTTCATATAAATCCTTGATTATCTCAATTTTCTCATTTAGTGGAATATTATTTGCTAAATTCGATTGGACTTTGGTTATCAGTTTCGTAGTTAATTGTCTAACAACTGATCGTTTCTTTTTCAAATGTTCAAGAATGCCCTCCATTTTCGAAATATTCAGTCTGTCAATTTTCTGGTTCGTAATAATCCCGGTTTGCAGGCACCATAAACAAAATATGTGTAAATCTCTAATAAACCAGACTGGATCGCAGTTAAAGTAATAAACAGAGGAGCGTTCTTCCACACAACATTTATTCACGAACACCAAAGACGAACTGATACATATACATAATTGACATCACAGTTTCTTTTTACAAACAAACACTACCGCCATCTATTGGCAATCTAAAGATATATAATCCTAAACTTAACATGGTGGGTACCGCATGCACTGACGGAAGTTCAAAGGTGATGCAATGTGCTCCGACCACTTTGCATGCTGGCAACAGGACAGCAATCAGTTCTTGTCACGAATAAATCACCATCGATGAATTTTAGGCCAGGGCATACGAACCAGAATTGAAACATCAGTCCACGGAGTGGCAACATCCTGGATCACCAAGGCAGCACAAGGTTCATCAGAATCCTTCTCCAGTCAAATTAATAGTGATCGTCGCATATGACATCAGGGGTGTCATTGTTTGCTATTTTGTTCCTCATGGCCAAACAGTGACCGCACAATTCTACAGGAACTTCCTGGTGGGACAGGTACAACGTGGCATTCAGGATAAATGTCCGGATCTTGTGGAAAGTGCAATAATTGTGTACAACAATGCAAAACCACATAAAGCAGAGTGTGTACAGCAGCTACTCCGACATTGGGGATGGGAAGAATTGGAGCACCTACCGTACTGTCCTGACCTTTCACCCTGTGACTTTGATCTCATTCCCAAGATTAAGGAACCAATACATGGTAGGCGGTTTGCAACACGAGAGGACATTGCTAATGCTGTGCGCCAACAGATAACCCAATTCACACATGGTGCAGCAAATGCTGAGGCTGATGGTATTCAGCGCCTCTCACATCATTGGCAGTGTGTGGTGACAGTAGCAGGGAACTACATTTAGGGTCTTTAGGCCCAGGTTTATCATGTCAACTTTATGTGTATTGTGTTATCATTCTTTTGCACGGTGAAGGCCATATTGCCTTGTATACTACCATATTAAATTTGTGTGTTACGATATTTCAGTGCTATTCGTTGTCTACACATGTAGTTAAGACCTTGTCCTTTCGTCTGTATATGTCACCTTTTCCAACTGGACTGGTATCTTCAAGAAAAAAAAAATAGTTGCCATGACTTTTGTTCCAGCCTGCGTATATATATTTTGAGTTTTTATGTATTTTTGCCTTGTTGGGAAGTGAGAACTGAATTCATTGAATAAGAAATACTAAAATGTCTGTAAAAAACTGTTTCTTTTTTTGTTTTTTTGTTTTTTGTTTGTTTGCTTAACTTCTTTTAAATATCGTTTTAGATTTATTATAGTATTTGAATAGAACATGTGGCAACGATTAGATAATTCTTCAAATGATATAAATTTATATGCATTCAGATTTATAATAGGAATGAAATGCAATGCTATTAAGTGAAGCTAGTGCCAGAGTGTCGCTGTGGTAAACAAATATAGTGAATTTTAAAGAATGCATTTATTCTATTATGTATGCACTATCGACGAAGAAGATTTAATTCAATCCAATACGTTTAAATGAAATGCAAGAAAAAATGCATATAATTTAATATTCCGTGCAAGGAACTCATGTGGTGTACACATCCGATTTTTTTTTTTTTCACATTGATATTCAGCTTGGCTGTCTATGGCCAGGTGTTGTGTTATCATAATGGATCCATTTTTCATCACCAGAGACTATGCAATGCAAAAAAACCCTTTCAATGCTTGGCAAGCAGCATTTCATTTATAAAAAATCAACTAGCAATGTTTCTCGGCTTCAGTTAATATTGAACCCAATTTCCTTGCTTTTGAATCATATCCAATGATTTTAAATGATGTGTAGTTGCTTGTTTAAATCGCTTCTAATGTAAATAATCTAATAATGGCATGAATCTTCATCCAGTAATGCTTCCAATTCTCCTGCTTCATACAGTTTCATCCTTCCGCTGCATTCTGTGTCTTCGACATCAAATTCACCATTCTTAAACTTTTGAAATCACTCGTTACTTCTCTCACTTGATGCAACCTCACCATATGCTTCTACAAGCAATCGATTTTCCTCAGCTGCAGATTTCTTTAAAAGTAAATCAAGAATTCCTGAAAATGATGCTCATTCTGCTCAAAACTCGAATATTTTTGCATGAAAAAAATATATTATGCTGATACAAAGTCACTAATATTTCAAGGGTTAGCAGATGTGCAGCCTTATGATATGACATTTTACATTATATAATTTTAACCATAACTTATTGGTGGCACCATTTTTTGTCAAATGGCAAAGACTTATTTGTTCTCCCATTAGAAAACTGAGAGTTTTTAAATATTGTGATCAGAGAGAACACTAATGTAAAACAGTGGCTTTTCATTCCAGTCTTTGCATTATAAGGGTTAGTTTTAGACATGGCTATTTGGCTAGTCATCAATTAATATTAAAAGTTTTTAATTATAGCCAAATTTGGAATTTATATTTGATCAATTACAAATTTAAGAATATAGTATTAAAAAATACATGTATGAAGAAGATACAAATGAAAAACATTTGAACCTTGAGGTTCAGTTTTTTAATATAATTTGACCAAAATATAATTGAATAGCTGTTCAGATTTTTTGCATTTTCTCTAGAATTGTTCTGTATTAAAACAAGTGTAGACAAGATATGATTATTTAAAAAAATAACACACATAATATGCTAAATTCTTCTTCCTCTAAAAAATACAGAATGTGGCATTTTTTAGAGAAAGGCTATCCATGAGGAAATGCTTATTATACTGGTGTAGTGAAATTGCAACAGTAACACTTTTTTTCCACCTTCCCTTGTATTTAATGAAGACTTTTGTTGAGTATCAGTAAAACTTATCTTTCCACAGTTTGAGTCAAATGACAAAAAGAGTTCGAAGCTTCAAGTTTTCAAATCTGGAATCATTTTCAAGATTTGTGGAAATTAAGGATTTGAATGCCCTATTTTTAATATGAAAATTATATAAGAAACTTCAAAAATTCTCATTATTCACAAAAGTTATCTCATAAGCCATACTTTGGGAACATGTCATTTAACAGTAATATTATGTCCCCCCCCCTATTTACATTTGACTACTATTGGCTTTTTGTAGTTAGATGGTACTTCATGTTTAATTATCACTGAAATAAAGTATGAGCAGTTTTGCAAAAGGAAAATCTCATTAATATGATTCTGTAAATATGTGCTTTTGAGATAAAATCATTGTTTCACACTAAAGTGCTTTAATTTTAATTTTCATGATTTATGAATCATTTTGTTCAATGGATGAAAGTTGTGTATTCTTTCATAATGATTTTACATTCTAAACTTCTATTTCATTATGTGTTTATGTATTGTAGATTTTCAGTAGATATAATCCAGATTAAACTTTTAATGTGAAGTGTTGCTAGACTGAAGTTTTATTAAACCCATACTTTTGATCAGATTTTGATCATTATTAGAATCTACTGCATAAATCTTGTCAGGTGCCAAGCCACTTGTTACTTTTGAAACCTTCACAGTAGTCTTAGTTTTAAAGCCTGTACATGCATATTTACTCAGTCACTTGATGTTTTTGCAAAATTTATTTCAGTTAGTAGTTTTTCTGGATTCTCACAATAGGATCAGGAAGGTTTTATTGTTTTTTTTTCTTTCATTTATCATAACTGAGGATTTAAAAAAAAAATACCCATTGCACTTTTTCAGGTGTGCATCAAATTCTGTTTTAACATTTTTCTGTTTTTGGGGGATCTAGTTCTTTGAAAATGGAAGTTACTGACCTGCAGAAGAGCAATCAGTTATTTCAAGAAATGCTGATGCAGAAAGATAAGACTATAATGACCCTTACAAATGAAGTATTTGAAATGGAAACTGAGAAGCAAGATGAAATGCATAGGAACCGTGAGCCTTCAATTTCTGAAGCGCAGAAGGTAGAGGTCAGCCCTAAAGAAACAATGAGTTATGAGGATTTAAAAGTAAGTGTTTCTCCTCCTCACTCGATAAATGTTACATCTTGTTAAGTTTATTGTTAAAGCAGTATTTTCTAATTTAATTTTATTGTGAAACTCTGTCATCTTAATGCATCTGCTAACATTAAATTAAAATGAAGTATTATTGTCATGATGCATTATTATGAAGCATTATTATTAAAATAATAAATTTATTCTTAGAATATTTTGCAACCTGTAAGGTTTGTGCAGATCTTAATAACTGCTTCAGATGTTCTGTAAGAAACTAACCCTTTACTGAAATGAATGATTGTGCAAAGCTGATCACTTATTGAAATGAATAACAGCTTATGGTAAAATAAGCATTTGTAAATAGCTGATTGAGACTAGGCAAATTCTTCTTAGCATGCAAAGAAAATTGTGTATCACCAATACCAGGTTCTGAGTAAGTTCTATAGCAATAGTGTTCTGAATGGTTCACTTAGGTAAATCTCTTAAACTATTGGCTGACTGCCAGCTTTAACATAGCCTTAATTTTAATTTAAACCCAACACTTGTGATCAGATTTAGATCATTGGAATCTCCAGCATAAATTTTGTCAGGTACCAGGCCATTAGTCACATTTGAGTCCTAAGGGTTATTGAATGCTTCTGGAAGATTTGTGGAAAATTGTTCCTAGGGTTTCAGAAATATGTTTTCTGGAGCATTCTAGAAAACTGTCAAGTTCATGAGAAATTGCTATAGTCTGTTACTTTAGAATAAGCACTTCAATTTTCTCCCAAACCATGGCACATAACCATGGGAATGACAGTTGTGGAAAAAAGATTCAATTGTCTAATTAACTAAAATCCCCTAATTCCTTCTGTGCGGTGATAAGATCACACGCTGAAGGATCTTTGTGCCTGTTTTAAAATAACAATCATCATACTGGAACTTAGCAATAAAAATTTATCAACAGGACTCTTTTGAAGAGTTTCTGCCTGTAATTTCTAATTGAGCTGTTTTATCAATTTTAACCTTTATTGATTCAGAATTATGATATCTACAAATTTATATATGAAATGAATACTTAGAAACTCAATCTAAAGCCATAAATGCACTCGAATATTTACAAAAATTAACAGCAGTATTTTAATATGAACTTTTTTTTCCATATTCAGTTTAATGCAGCAAGCAAAGGAACTTGTTTCTAGAGCAATTTATTGTGAATTCTTTTATACTCTATCTTATTTGATATGTTACAAAAAATTGATTCATGCAAAAAATTACCATTAACACCTCTTATGCTGATATGCTCTTATGTTTATATGCTGTTATTAAATATTTTGTGATTTTGCTGTTGAATTGAATTTTATGGAACATAAGCACCAAGAACTTGATATTTAATAAATAAAGTAAACACACAGAATGTTTATAATAAAAGTTTTGTGCAACTATTTTAAAAAAGCTGAACATTGATATGATGAACTCGAAAAGACTGGCAAAACAGAAAAATGTATCCCAACATTGAATGCTGTGTTGGGAATTTTAAAGGTTTACTGCTGTGCTGCTTTAAAAAGCTTAATTATAAAGCTAAAAAGGCACTAAAAATGTTTATAAGGAGTGAGTGTAATAGTAGACTTGTAGCTGCCTGCAAGGTCAGCAAGAGCATAAGAAACCTTAACACACCCTTTTTAAGTGACTTAAAATCTGAAACCTTTCAGTTTTTTTTAAGTAATTTTAAATGAAGAGTTTAACATTATATGGAATGTATGGAGAAGGTTCAACAACGAAAATAATGTTTTCTTCAAATTTAAGTTTATTATGTATTTTGAGTGTTAAAATGTGTCAAGATGTTCTTTTATAACCTGTTAAATTTATTATTTCAGGATGCAGTTCAAGCTTTTGAATTTCAAAACAGATTTCTGAACAATGAACTTTTAGAGCTTAATAAATTGAGGCGAGATGATGAGGAAAGGTTTCATTTGTTATCTGTGTAAGTATAATTTCTTTTACAGGATGCCTCAGAGGTCTATAAAATATTTATATATTATAATTACTAAATCCCTCATTCTTCTTAACTCATTCTTATTTGTTTTTAAATATTATTTTCATTGGTAACTGTGGGTTGCTGGACCTGCAACAAGAGGTTGCCAACAAATTTAGCAATTCTGATATTTCTTATTATAATAATTTTACAATTACGAAATATTTTTACACAGTGTATCTGAAAATAGATAAGACAATACAAACAAAGAAAAAAGGAAAACGTTTCAATGCATTCTTTTTATAATAGAAATGTTCATTTTACTTACTATGCACGTGATGCTGTCGTTTCGTCTGTTACTTATTTAAAATTTTCACATTGTTCTATGTCTTAAAACTAGAAAGTTAATGACCTAAACCTGCAATAGTATATTACAGTACAAGTGACAAAAGTGACAGTTTCACACATGCGTGTGTGGGATTTGCATAATGCTTATTGGGTCCCACAAAATTTTGTAAATATTATGGGGTCCTGGGGGTCGCAAAAAAATCTCAGTGATAAAAAGGGGTTGAAACCGAAATAAGTTTAAAAAACCCTATTTTAAGCGATTCTTTAGTATAAAACTATTAAGTTTATTTCAAAACTCTGAGCGTAACTGAAAGAAAAATTATTTTTTGCATTACACGAAAAAATTCAAAATTTGCTTCATATCATAATAGGTAACATTACCAATCCATATGTCATGATATTTACAATAAGAACCTTTTGGCTGAGGTATTACCAACTGCAGTCATTTCCTGATTTCTTATACCAATACCATATTAAAAAAGGCTTAGTGAGAAGGAGCTAACTGATCAGTGATGTTGCAGTCAATGTGTGATGTTGTGGGAAGTATTTTCCTGCAATCTGAAGCTATATTCTGGCAATGAAGCTGTAATTTGCATGATTTTATTGCATTCACATTCTGTAAAATTGTGTTTTTCCTTCCATTTAATTTAAAAATTATATCATTAAATTTTTATATTAAAAGTGCTGAAATCGTATTGAAGGTTGATCAGGAATGATGGGAAAAAATGTGCAACTAAAATAATCAATGTTAAATAATTGAAATTAAACAAAATATAGAAGTAAAAGCTAAATAACGATAAATTAGTTTTAATCAATAATAAATACATATGCAATTTAAGTAGAAATAGTTGATAAATATGTTATAAAAATTCAATGAAACAGACAGATGGGAGGTGAGAAAATGTATACTATTGAGATAGAATAGTATACATTTCAGGAATAGTAAATACTCATATTCAAATATTTCAGGAACAGCATTCCATTTCATTTAAATATTTTGGAGGAAATAATGAAAGTGCAAGACAAAGACAAATCTGTTAATAAGTAATTTTCTCTAAGAAACAAAATCAACTATAAGAATTTTTAAATCTAGTAAATACAAAATAGGCTTAAACACTAAGTCTGATCTGAAAATGTATTTTAAATTGGGATTTTAACTTGCTATGTTTAATTGCCTTCTTCTGGAATGTAATTATTATTAAATTTTTAATTCATTTGCAAAACAAATTGATGAAACTCATCTGGCAAAGGATTTACATGTGCATCCTGTATCATATATTCGCAAATTTGAATTGCAATCATAAATGAAAAATTTGTGCAATTTACTGTTAATAGAAGTCATAAAAAGTGTTGTTAATTGAGGAAGGATTTTATTGTCTTATTTTAACAAATAAATATTCTTCTCTGTGAGTGTTAACTTAAAAAGTAAATTAATTTCAACACATTTGTCTATTTAATATGATATTAGTGAGTTTATCTTTAAATAGATTGTTTCGAATGATAATTATGCTTTCTGGTTTACACAGTGTAGTATTTTAATCACCAAGATTTTTTTTTCATATGAATTCAACATTGCATTTAAAAATATTGATGCTAAAATATCTGGAAACATAAGGTAAAAACACAAAATGTTTCATTTTTTATGTGAAAGTAACTAGGGCTAAAATGAGTTATCAACAGTTTTACTGACATTAACTTAGCTTGGTGATTCCTGTACATATATACAGCATGCAAAAAATTTAAATGTGACTCATAAGCTCCTGTTAACTATTGATAAATTCCTGAATTGTGATGACACTAAGCTTACTAGCTGAAATTAACGTACTAGCTCGCTAGCTGATTACTTAGCTATAAGAATCCCCTCCTTTCCAACCCCCCCCCGAAAAAAAAGCTACTTTTTAAAAACACCATTCTGTTACAGGATTTACCATAATATTCATACCATTCATGTTCATTTATAATATTTACCAGAAAAAGCATTATTCAATTACATAATCTTTTGATAAATTGATTTAAAAGATGCAATAAGTGTAAATTTGGTTGTTTACATAAATTAAATGAGTATTAAAAATAAATTGCATGGTAACTAACAAAATAAAAAGTAGCATTGTCAGTAAGGAAGGAACTGAGTTACGAATGACATAAAGAATCTTAATTACAAAAAACTGTAACAATGTCATTGTGTTCAAACTCGGCGAGAAGAATTTTCATTAGAACTTTTTACTTTTCAGCAGGAATTCATCTTTTATCATTGCTTGCTGTGCTTTAAATTTGTCTCTTCCTTTTCATGTTTTTCATAGACAGTTTCATTTTATGCTGATGGTTTGTGATAGTAATTGTTCCTCTATTCTGCAATAAACATTTTGTTAAAAAAACAGGGATTGGCTTATCTGTCTTCAGTTAATCGTAAGTTGATTATAGGGTATAACAGTGGGCAGCCTATTTGTCATAATACCTATAAATGAGAATGCTACTTGATTATTACATAATAGATTCATATTCATAATACAGGAAAAAAGTCTCCAGAATTTTTTTTTTAAACCCAGACCTTTTTTTTTTTTTTTCCAAAACCAGACATCTTTTTTTTTTTTTTTTTTTTTTTTTTTTTTTTTAAACCAGAAAACACAGCTAGTATTAAGTATTGAGGGGCAGGAATGAAGCTGATTACCACTGCTGCAATATAAACTGAAATTTGCAGTAAAAAGTAATGTAATGAAACTGAATTATATACACAGTAAAATGTAAATTTTGCAACTGCTCAATTAACTAAATGGAAATGTAATATTTAGACCTGATCTGCACAATAATGCAGAATGTAGATTAGATTTGAAACTCATTAATCTTCATTTTCTAAGTATGTATTCTATTTTTTTTTTTTTTTTTTTTTTTTTTTTCTTTTTTTAGAAAGTGCAGTGAATGGGAAGCTCGCAGTTATCAAATGCAAAGTAAATTGCTCTTTCTGTTGAATGAGCTGAAACGAACTGGTATGATATTTTATATTGATGTCTTAGCTAAATTATTCATATAATTATAACTTCATCTATTTAATGCCATTTTTGTTTTCATTTTGCAAATAATTGTTTACATTTTTGCCAAAGTAAAAAAGTAGCCCATCCATAAGACCATTTATTTATTTTCCAGATCATAGCAGTGCCTTCTTTATCTTTATTTGTTAATTCTCTATCTGTATGAAAACATATTTTTCTAATAGTTGCATGACTTTTTTGATTTGGAAATCTAAAACCCTTAAAGATCTGTAGAATTAATGTTTTTAAATAGGATGGCAATACATTACATTTTACTTGGTAAGACCATCTGTATTCGATAGATAAAATTATTTGTTGTAGAGAAAGCTGTGTGGTTTTTGTTGTTTCAATGACATATTGTAATTGGGCTAGTATAGGCTGGCTATTCTATTATAACTATGGGACTAGAACATGTTTTCTGAATGCTTAGTATAGTATCTTGCAAGTCAGGCAAAAGCTAGTTTCCATCTCAGTGCCAACAAATATCATTCTCATTTATGGAGAGGGGTGTCACTGTATTAGCTCCCTTTACAGAGCCTCTGAGAGTTATGAAAAAATATACACTTGTTGTGTAAGTTGCAGAATGATTTGGTGGGTGAAATTCAACGTTGTATGTGTGGTTGATTGCATTAACATCTAGTCAACACAGTAGTTTGTCTGCCCTCTGTAAAGGTTAATTGCTGACCATCATTCCAGGACATCATCAAGGAGGACATTTCTTTTTTCTTAGGTGTTCTAGTTGCACCTTCTGTATTTGATGGACAGGTAGAAAGAATTTGTCATAATAATTATAAGATGGTGTCATAAGATGGCTGTTGTTCTCTCTGGCTGCTCTCTTTCTGATGAGTGCAGAACTTTAATCCTTAGCAGTCATATATTAGCATTTTACCATTTGAGCAAAATTAGCTTCCACTTAAGCAACAAGAAATACCAGGGTTATTTATAATGATAGACATTGTTACATTTGCTCCATTTTCCCTATTTTAAGTAAATATTCAAGTGAAGTACAAGATTTCTACTAAAGAAGTATAATTTCATTAATTTAAAAAAAAGCTCAGGGTAGGGTAATATATATTACTTTTTTTTTTTATTTGTGAAACTTGAGTCCTGTAGTAACTGCAATTGGCATGGAACAAATTTTACTTCTTTTTCCTAAAAGTTTCCAAATTGTAATAGTGGAATTTGAATTTCAAAACTCATTTTTATCGTTTATTTCCATGGACTTTGTTGAAAAATATGAGCTTTATGGAAAGGTCCCATAAACAAGTTTCATTTGTTGTTCAGATGTGCAGAGCCTTCTAGTACTTTTCTTTATGCACAGACATCACATACTGTTAAATTACATGATTGTATTATACATTGATTTTCTGCTTAGAACTGATTTTAAGAAGCTTTACTCATATGCCTATTGAACTATGATAATAGATTCTGCAATGCTGAATTCTGAATCTTGCGTACATTCTTCATTGAAAACACAGTAATTCTCAATTCTCCCTTCTTAATCACATAACATATGGTATTTGCCTATGTCATTGCACAGACTCGAAAAAACTTCTTACTTGCATGCATGCACTTCTTCAAATTTCATTGCAATATCTTTCACTGTGCTTAAAAAAAAAAAAAAAAAAAAAAAAAAAAAAAAAATACTGAAACTGTCTATTTTCTCTGTATTACCTGTTTACTAGAAGCAAATGATGTTAGTAAAATTATTTAATGATAGTTAATATAGTATAATTTTAATAGATAAAAATTTTTATTTTTATTTTACTAGGTAATTCCAATCACAAGATTGTAAGTGAGCTTTTGCAAGAAGGTAGGGAAGAAGGTGCTGCATTCACGAATATAATACCATCCTGGTCAAGGTAATTTTTTGCTTTTTCTTTTGTCATTGAACATACTTGAAGCTTCTAACATCATGTTACTATGTCAAAGCATTTATCATTCAGACAGCCTAACTGCTTGCTCTACTGCCATTCCATATTCCATACAGTATAAAATCTTGAATTTATCATGTGCACTGAAGAGCAGATCTCCAGTTCTCAAAGGTATTGGCAGTTGAGAAGATCTTTAAATTTCCTGTTTTGTTTCTTTAATTAATTATGCACAACCCATAATGGATATCTGCTCAAGGAAAGGAATCTTTAATCTATCTAATCTTCAGAGGAATCTTTTAAGGAAATTGATATATTTCATTTATTTTACATATGAAGAAAATCATGCTAGCATACATAAAATCAGACCATTTGTGTAAATTCCAACCGCGATTGAACTATAGGTGTCCTGTGGTCTTAAAAAGCTGGCCACAATATATTTTCTATTCTGCATTTGAAGGAATGTTATATTTTCATTTATTGTATTTTGTTTTTTACAAAGATGATTTAAAAATACATTGTTTTAACTTCTGCAATGCAAATGTGAACACTCTTTACTTCAAAAGTTAGGCAATGGATTATTTATTGGCCTAAGCACATTAAGTGCTGGATATTTAATTGCTTTGCATCAGCTAAACAGTGAAATTAATTTTTCATTCATATAAGCCTTAAAACTAAACTATACTAAAATAGCAGTAAGTAAATAATTTTCAAATTCTTTGCCTTTATTGAATTATTTTTAAAATTAAGGTGATAAAATTATTTTTAATTTCTTAAAACAAGGCACATACCATATTTATGCTCAACTAAAATTGAACTGAAACATTATTTTTATATTCCCTTTTTATGGTTGAGAAAAGACTTGTAGATTAATCCTTCAGGTGGCTCTATCTATCTGTGTGTTTAAAAATATTTGTTGTGATACTCTCAAGTACACAAACTTGTCTCTTGCAGAGGATTAATGTGGGATAAATATTGAAAGAAAAAGAATGAAGGTACAAAATTGGAGGATTACTTTGGAATTATGATCAGGAAAGTGTCACTTATTCATGGCCTTTTGAAGGAACTTCAAGATTTCAGGACTCAACCCTGGGCACATTTGGAGAGTTAAATTAACAGCAATAGGATTATCTGTGCTTAGTTTTAATTTATTTTCCATTAATGTATTTTGGTCGAATGTATTGAAAGTGTTGTAGTATACATTCATTGAAATTAATTTAGTAACATACTGTATTGAATTATTTTTCTTGTTTTATCTTTAGTCATCATAAAATAAATAAAATAAGAACATCTAAATAAATTTACAGCCAGTGTTATTTAAATTAGGGAAATAAATAAGATGAATAAAGTGGTAATTTCAGTTTTGCTCTGTACGTACATACAAAAATAGAATTAAAAATTCTAGACTTGTATTTTATCAAAATAATTTCAAAATAAAATAGTTTCATAAAAGTTAATGTTTGCAGGTTAATATTGTAAGGTGAAGGTTAATACTCGGAAGTAAAATATTTGGGTAAAGGTAGCATGCAAATAAAAGTCACGAACCTTCTACACTGGTTATCATAATTTAAGGGAAAATCCCCAAAATCACGCTTACTGGAAAAGTTACATGTAGAATTTTATGAAACTTACCCACAATATACAACACATAGTAAGGTATAAAATAACATAAAAATAAATTACCAGACAATTATGGTAGTATAGAAATTAGCACATGTATAAAATGAACGAATTGAAGGTGTCAGTTTACTATAGGAAAAGTACCTTCAATAGGGAATATGGTCGCCTCTAGAAGCCAATACAGCACATACAGTGATGCGTGATGCTTTCAATTATGCGGTCTATTAGTTCCATAGGAAGCAAGAGCCATTGCTCTTGCAAAGCAGTTGCAAGCGCGGCCAAGGATCTGAGGGAGCTGGATTGAGAGCAACTAGATGTCTCTCTAAATCATCCCAAACGTGCTTGATAGGATTCAAGTCCGGGGATCGAACTGGCCATTCCATGCACATGATTGTTTCCTGTTGAAGATAATCATGTACGATGCGAACCCTGTGTGGTCTTGAGCTATCGTCCTGTAATAGGAAAGCATCACCTATTGCCCCGGCACATGGGCGCACATAAGCATCAAGGATGTCATCCCTATAAACCGGAGCATTCACGGTTTCCATTGGAAAGACATGGAGGTCTGTGTGTCCATCCAAAAAGATGTCACCCCAAACACAGACACTGCCTCTTCCGTATGCATCTCTTTAACAAATGTTTGACGGATGATAATGGGATCCAGGTTCTCTCCATATAAAATAACGCCTACTATCGCTTTCTAGACTAAACCTGATGAATTATAATTTAATTTAATAAATGCCTATATTTTAATTTTCATCCGTAAAGAGAACAACCCTCCACAGATCAAGCGTCGGACATGTTGTCGTGCCTACTGCAAATGGTCCCTCCTATGGCGTGACGTGAGCGGCATGCAAATGGCTGGTCGTCTCGCATACAGATCACCTTCGTGAAGCCTTCTACGCCCAGTTGGCATTGACACCAACCTTCCGGTGGCTGCAGCAAGTGAGGATCTAACAGGAGTCAGAGTAGTGGTTCTATTCCTGTGTGCATATAACGTCAAATATCGGTCATCAGTGTTCGTCGTAGTATTTGACACGTGTGCATCTATTAATTTAATTTCCAGTTTTCAGAAATTCAAGAAGTTGCGAAAATTCATTAATATTTTTTTCACCACGTTTTGTCACGTTGCCGAATTACAAAATACACTCTTTTTCAAAAAAAGCGAAGCACCATGAAGGAAGTGGTTGTATAGCTCATACACAGATTATAAAATGATTAAAATATCAAGGTCATAATACCTGTTCAGGGCTTACAATTAGCCTTTGAGTGTTCAAATTAGTAGTTGATCGAACCGCCCCTGGTGGCAATACATGCTTGAATTCGTCGAGGCAAGGAGTAGTAGAGATTCCTAATGTCATCCTGTGACACATTCTGTCAAGCATTCATCAGTTGTTGCTCAAGATCTGCAATATATTGTGATGCCCGTATCTGGCGGCCTACCATGCCCCAGACATGCTCGATTGGTGAAAGGTCTGGTGACTTTGATGCCAAGGATGAGTATCAGCCGCACGGAGACAGTCCAGAGATATACGATCGGTATGTGGCGTGACATTATCTTGTTGAAAAATAGCCCCAGGATGGCGTGCCATGAAGGGTAATGCAACCGGCCACAGGATGGTATCAACATATCGCTGAGCTGTTAAAGATGTACCGAGGATGACTAAAGATGTCCTACTGTCATAAGATATAGTGCCCCACACCATCACACCAGGGGTTATAGTTGGCCGCCCTTGGTGGAACCTCCTAGAGGCCGAATCTGTGGTTTGAAATCGCCTCCAAAGTCTATGAACCACAGAAGGACCACATTTAGCCATCTGGCCACTTCTGTTTGACTTTATCCTGCCTCTAGTTTCCCAATGGCTCTCCATCGTAGTTCTGCAGGCAAAGGATGCCTGGAGGTCATTGTTACGAATTGGCCATCTCAAATTTCTGATGTCACTATCACAGTGAAATATGTGCTCTTGCTCTCAAACATGGACTTTTATTCTCCTCGCAGATATCGTATTCCGAGTGCAGCGCCATTAATTTTGCATATTGCAGTTTTACTCAGTTACTCTTACTTGACAACATATTCAAATTTTATATGGTTTGGCTTATTTTTGAGGGAGTTATCACTATTCTTGTGATTATTCCTTAACCCGTAACAGGGGAGGTGAAAAAGTTGAACATAGCAGGGGACCTATGGTCTCAGAGACTGCGCATTATAATAAATTTTAAAAATTGTCCAATTAAAATATCATCATGATATTTCACTTATATGTTCTTTGAACATTTTACTCTGAAAAGAATATATGTTTTTACACTTTAAAGTGAAATTAAATTTATCCCAGAAAATTTCCCCATAGCCTTAAATTTTTCAATGAAAATTATATGCTGCACTAAATTCTATAAAACTAAAAATAAGAATGCATCTATTTTGAATTAACTATTTTATCTATATTATTAAATATTTAAAGCAAATTTTAACCGGAGAAAATTGTATGTAGCACAATACAGAAAAATTTTGACAGTACCTGAAATATCAGTATCTCACTGATTTTCTGATAGTAAGATAGTAAACAATTTAGTTTTCGTCTTCTTTAGCATATTCATTGCATAACTTTTGCGTGCATTCCAAACAAACAGGGTCTTGGCAAGATAAACATAAATATGCTGTCTTTCTTTTCTTGCTTGGGGGGCACAGACGACATGTTTTCCTTGATTTTAATTTTGCTTCTTTTGTGCACTGCTCCACATCCTTAGACTCAGCTTCTTTTCCTAAAATCCGCTTTATCGTCAGGCGCAATTCTCGATTTATTCTTGGATTTTTCACTCTCGTGTGTAGTAGTGGTTGGACTAATTCTCTCGCTAATTCTTTCAAAAACACCATTCTGGTCATAACAGGGTTTTGGTTATAACCTTGGTGCAAAATGTATGCGTTTACTGTACTCATATCTACTAACCGTAGAAAAGAGCCATAGGCCAACGCGTTGTTCTCCTACTACAGGAATGGACAGAACATTTTTCATCTAAAGCATCAACACCACCTTTGGTTCTGTTATAAAAACCAATTATTTCAGGTTTCTGTGTTTCCGAGTCTGTTTCTATCGAATGATGCAATGATGACATCAAAACCACTGCTCGCCTTTTCTTTGGAACAAATGAAATCAAGGTTATGTCCTTAGTAAATCCATACAATGTTGACTTTTTCTGGAAGAAAAATCTTTCGGAATTTCTTTTTTAATTTTTTTAACAGTTCCAACGTATGTCAGTCCATTTTTCAACAATTCTGTGGTAAGTTCTATGGAAGAAAACCAATTGTCTGCTGTTACATTCCTGTTCGTATTAAAAATTGGTTTGCTCAAACGCAGAACAGCTTGACTTGGTTTGCTGAATTTTTTCCAACTCTCCTCTACCAGGGTTCGTAGCGGTCCTTACAAGTGCTTATAAGTCCTTATATTTGAAAATAAAATATAAAGGCCCTTATAGGTGCTTACTTTTTCTTTAAAGCCCTTTTTTTTTTTTTTTTTTTTTTTTTTTTTGTTTTTAGTGCTTATGTTTTGCTTTTAGTGCTTTTTTTAATGAACGCGCATTTTCCCCCGTACCAAAGCCGAAACTAAATAAACAACTTTTCTTCCTTATATGGAACGTCAGATGGTGAATCATACTCCCGAAAGTAGCTTTTCCCCCTTTCTCTGCATTAACGTAACCTATGGTGCGCGCGAGAGTACAGACAGGTGCACGTCGCTCTATTGGTCAAAAAATTGCGAAAACCGTAGAAAATTCCGGTACATTCGGTATTCTTTTCCTCCCACCCAAATACTACACACGTTTGAATTTCTATCCAGAGTTTAATTTGAATTCTCGTTCCGCGTAGTCAGTTCATATTCGTGTTTATTATGATCGTTATGCTTATATTATGAGCATATGTATGAATATTTATAATAATATAGTTGCAGTAGCTGCTGAAGTGTAGATGAACTTCCAAAAATGGGTGTATTTTTACACAGATTAGCTTTCTAAGGAATAATATTCGGAATGGTTTAAATAAAAGGAAAGTAATCAAATAGTCAAAATAATTTTTTTTTTTGTTTTGTTTTGTTAATACATTATACAGTACGGAGGTTGGGAGGTTCTCCCCTTTCCCCGGAAAATCTCTAATGTTGAAGCAGCGGACTTTTTTTTTGTCACTGTCCAATCTGGATTGAATAGGACTAAAAGTTTTGCGGTCTACCCAACCCAAGCGAAGAATGATTCTATTCCGGAGATTTAACGCAGTCTGTTCAAAATTAGAATCAAAAACACCCCAGATTAGTAAGTCTCTTTCTTTTCCTTTATTTAGTTCTTTATTCTCTGAATACGGGCATCTGTTGATTCCGATTCTGATTGCGTAATATCACGTATGGAAGAATTACGTCACACGTATTGCACAATAAGGTTTGCGTTATTTTTCAGATATAATTAATTTTGATGTTCAGTCTGAGATTTATTTATGAACACTTAGAAGAGTTTTACTGTGCTTTCTAAGCAGAATATTTCTCAGTTCCGTTGTCTATTTTTATATGATGCACATATTGAAATGTCAAAATCATTTATTTAGCCGAGAAATCTAAAGAACGGCTACAATCTCCCCCCTTCCCCTTTTTCCAGTTACACTCGACTATATGGAATATTCGGCAATTTCCGAGTATGCGGGTTTGTTAAGCTTTTACTGTTAAAGGATGACTGCATGAAGCAATTTCCCATCTCCTGATTTCCGAAATGTTCCTCTTTTTTACTTAAATTACTTTGTTTGGAATATATATTAAGGGAAAACTGTTATGCAATGAAAATTTAGAAAATGTTCAGAATTTTGCTTTAAGTTAAATTATTAAAATATTAATATGAGTGGAAAAGTAAATTGTATTTATTATTAGGTGCCAAGCGAATACAATTAATATAGCTTATTATTATTTATTTTCCATATTTTGAACTGAAATTTCATCATTAAATCTTGTAATATAGTTTAGTTCTGCATAGTTTTTTTTTTTCTCTCATTGTAAATGAATTCTGTAAATTGAACTGTTATTTAAAATTTTAAAAAAAAAAAAAAGTAATTGTTTCCATGGTTGAGGTAATGCTCATTCTCTTAATAAATATTGCATTGCTCATATTTTAATTGCAAGTCTATTTTTCTTTAAGGTTATGCAGTTGTATAATGTAATTGGACAGGCTTATTTTTTTTCTTAAAATGTGCTTGAAAAGTGCTTATAGGTGCTTATTTTTTTAACTAAAATGTGGCTACGAACCCTGTCTATGCTAATTCCATCAGAGTCTTTCCACAGTAAAGATATGCATTGTAAGCATAATTATTCCGGGCATCAGACACAACACATAACTTTTAATCCATATTTCACGGGCTTTTGGGGATATATATTTTAAAGCGACACTTTCCTCTGAATCCAACAAGCATTTTATCAATGCAGACGCAAGTGCCTAATGTGTACGCTTTCTGGGAGTTACAAATGAATAAATTCATCACTTCAGATGCTGCCGGATCAGATTTCTTTCGTTCTTCCCTATCATCTGGGTTATCAAATCGCAAATTTGAAAGTAAAAATTTAAAACGTTTCATTGGCATAACTGCACGAAAAACACTGCGGCCAGTTCCATCCGGGGCAAATAAAAATTCAATATCTTCATGATTGGATTTGAAGACTGATGTGTAAATACGTAAACCCAAAAGAGCTCTCAGATCATCAACACAGGTGTAGTCAATTTCACCTTTAATTGGACCACATATATATTTTTATTTTTCTTTCAATTTTTAGATTTGTCCATTTCACAATTATGTTTTAAAGTTCGTCAGTAAAAAGTAGTTGCCATACATTTTTTTGGATCTGAATAAATTTTTCCATAAGGTCTTAGTCCAGGAAGTCTTACGATATTGTGAGCTGGCCTTCTAACTTTTCGATTTGGTTCAGCGGATAACCATTTGAACCGATTTTTTCCATAGTAGTGTTTTACGGAATTAGTTGTTTCTAGATCAGAGAATCATTGCTATCTGCAAAAAATTCGGAGTCTGTTGAGTGGGCACCTTCACAGAATTTCTTCACAGTAATCTTCTTACTAAAATCACTTCCAACTTTGTCTAGAATTTTTTCAGTTCTTCTGCATAACGCGGATCGAAGGATAAATGAATCTGCCGGACCTAACTTCAGAGCCATGTGTTCACTACTGCCGAAAATTGTAATACTGAGAGGGAGGTGAGGTCTCATAGACCGCTCTAGAAGAATTTCAACAGATACACTTGCCAAAGCATTCCGATAAGAAGAGGTCACGAAACGGGAAGCTAGGGGAAGAATCCATTCAATTGGACAAAGCATGCAATAGGGGTGATGGGAGGAACATGTGGCGTGGTCCGTCAGACCGCACATCCACTGTTACGGGTTAATTTATGATAACCAGTGTATTTGACGTTTGTGTTATTTATATTTATAGTCAATTTGTAACCTATGTTTAAAATTAAACTTTTTTTTTCCTTCTAGGGAGAATATGTATGATGAATTAGGTTTTAATTGGAAGTGGGCTAAGGAAGATCTTTTATCTACAAAAGCTTCAAACTTAAAGCAAAAGTCTGAAATTATATCTAACAAAGCAAAGGTAATGTTTTTATTTCTATATTAACATGTTGTTATCAATATATCCCTTTATATTACTGTCATTTTTATTCTTAATTGTCTTTTTAAAAATAAATAGGATCCTGAACTAGCAACTTGGCACTCCAAGTGGGACAACTTCGTGGTTTCACTGGGTTCAAAAGATTTGCAGCGTTCAGCAGAACTGAAGGCCTTGATAAGAATGGGTGTTCCCCATGAATACAAGGGGAAAATATGGAATGGGTAATGTCTTAATTAAAAATGTCACTATGTGAACATGGAATGGGTAATGTATTAATTAAAAATGTCACTATGTGAACATGGAATGGGTAATGTCTTAATTAAAAATGTCACTATGTGAACATGGAATGTGTAATGTCTTAATTAAAAATGCCACTATGTGAAATTGTAGCTTACTTTTAATTATGTGTATGCATTTACGTCCTCTAATCCAGGTGTAATTAAGAGTTTGATTTAGTTTTTTGCTTCTTTTTTAGATGTGTAAAGATGTGGTTAAAGAATGAGAAACAGCACCTGACGTCAAATTATTACAATATTCTTCTGACTTCAAAAGAGTATATCTCAAAATTAGATCCTTCTTCAAAGCAGGTTTGTTTGGAATAGTTCTGAATTTGTTATCTAAATTTTTTTATTTTTTATTTTCTATATTTATATACATAGCATAAATATGCATAATATAATAAAATAAAAACAATTTTCAAAATTAACTAATTTAAAAAAGTTTAAAAACCTAGTAAGTATTAATGTATATGATGATAAATTTTAAGGAACAAAATTGGGATCGTTTTGCATGAAGACCAATAACTGAGAACAATTTTTTGTGAACAAAAAATGTAAATAAAAGCATAAAATCCCGAAAATAAAATGAGATGTAGTTATCATTTAAACAAATAATATTATAAGAAAAGAAAATTATATTCAAAAAAAATTTCTTTTTAATACAGTCAAAAGTCGTTAATCCGGACTCGTCGGGACTTCGGCGATTCCGGATTATCGATTTTTCCGGATTATAGATCATCAGTTTAAATCTCGTAAGATGGCATGCAGAAATTCTAAAATTAAAAATATGAAACCGTAATTTATGAAATAAAGAACAATTATGATCTAAAGGGTATCAAAATTTACAAAAAAAAAAAAAAAAAAAAAAAAAAAAAAAAAAAAAAAGCTTAATATTTATTTGTTTACTTTATTAAACATTTCTTTCAATGTAAGTTGTTTAAGTTGCTTCGTTTTATGTGATAATACTTTCTCTTTAATTCTATAAACAGACATAATTTCTTGTTCAGTTACAAAGTTCCGCTGTTCAAGTCCCGTTAATTGCTGTGCCGAGAATACCGACTAACTTGTCAATCGAAATTTTTTCGTTTTCACTAACCTCTCTGTCACATTCTTCATGTCTTTATCCATTTTTTGCAGCAATTCCACTTTTTGTTTGTTGGACATCGAAACATACTTTCGTTTTGTAGATCCTTTGGGAAGTTCCAGCATCGGAAATTCTATTTGACATAATCGAAAGTTCAAGTTTACTTTTATAAAATTGCTCTTACAGTCTGCAAAAAATAATAAGCTGGATCCAATTCGAAGATTAAGGAACAACGCAATCATCAACATTAACTGAAATAGATAATTGGATAATTTTAGCTTATACCGTCCGTTATACATAAAACACGCACGCGAAAACGTTATGCGCAGTCGTAAAAGGTCTTACGCGCATGCGTAAACGCCTATGCGCATATGTCAACGCAGCGTATGTGCAGAAAGTTTTTAGCTTTGAGGTCCGGATTATAGGTGTCTGAATTAACGACTTTTGACTGTATTTATTCTGAATTTTGATAGAGAGAGAGTTTTTGAATGGGTACTTTGATAAATAAAATTACAGATTTTGACTTTAATTATAATAGTATGAGGAATGAATAGTTTTTTTTTAAATGTAGTCAAGTAGTTGTGTTTCTGACTGATGCATTGAATAAGATAGATTAGAGCAGTTGATGACAATAATGAATTGCATAAACATATTTCAAAAATTAGGAATTATTTAATTATTCAGACAATAAAATTAGTTAATTATTCAGACAAGAAATTACAAAAGAAATATAGTAACACCTGTTATGTTCTCCTGATTTATGCTGGTTTGTTATGACATTCTGTTAAAAAACAATTTATGAAAATTAAAAATTGATGTCCAGGAATTTTCATGTTGCTGCATCTTAGTATCCAGAAAAGTATTCTGGACATAACACTGCTACACTGGTAATAATCACAAAGCTAGGTGCCATTCACCTTGAAAAAGCTACATGCCAGTATTTTCCAAACTATGGTCCAGGAGACAATTTTTGGTGGATTGTAGAATATTCTGGAGATATATAGAGGTACCAGAAAATAACTAAAATGACAATGCTGCAGATGAGCATTGCTTAGTTACAGACTATGTCACTAGGCCTTGTTTATTTAGGATTTTTTGCACATATTTGCCAACAGGCATGGAACTAAGTAAAATATTTGTTCTTTCCATTGATGTGTATGTGTTCTTATTCACAGTGTCCTGCCATTTTTGTAATGGGCAATCCCAAAGAACTGAAAAAATGTTTTTTTTTGTGTAGGAAAAATGCAATTGAGACTTTTGTTATTCTTCAGCAAACTTTTAAAGATGATGCTTTGAGTATTTCAGATTAAAAAAATGGCAACATATCAAATGAAAACTGCTAGTATTTGGACATCCATTGATGAGTAGAAGTGAGGAAAACATTAAGAAAGTGTGACATGCTGCATATGAAGATTGTCAAATAAACCACCATTCACCTGGTTTCTGAAGAAATTCTATTTTAAATTCATGGAAAAGAGCAAAATCATGTTTTTGTCTCATTTCCACTACTCACCTAATCTTCCTCTTGCTGATTTTGATTCCCCCCTTATTTTCACAGATAAAGAAAGCTTTCGAAAAGGAATTCTATGGTGTGGATGAGATACAAGGAAATATATTACTTCTCTTGAATAATGTTCTATGTCATGAATGTCAGAACTATTTTTGTGTTTTCATGGTGGGCAAACCATGGTAAAAGTATCAGTGCTGATATCGAACAATTTGGAGAACTAAAATATGTAGGTGTAACACAAATGTTTAAAAATAGTTTGTTATTTTGGGGTAACACCTCATATTTATCTCATAACTTCCAACGCTCAAAGTTTTTACTCAGATGCATTTTCATCTCTCTCTGAGTAGGTCACCTAATCTCTTGGTTTCTTAATTGTTTTTAGCCTTTACTGAGAAAATTGTTTCCCAGCAATAAATGAAATGTATTGAATGAAGGAAACTTAAGTTGTGCAAATTGCATTCCTCCACTCCTAGTAATTTTCAGCATAATTTTTCATGTTAAATTTTATTTGATCTGACTTTTCTCAATCAACTGTGGACATCTGTAGAACATTTTATGAACATTCATGCATTCTTTAATCATTGTTAATATTTGTGTTTAATTTTGTTTTACACCAAAATATGGTATGCTAATGAGTTTATCTACATAATAGTATGTACATTAATTATTGATTTTTTTATTATTTTTAAAAGTGCTTTGATCAGTAAGATTTTCTTCCCTACTCAGGATTCTCAAAGTATGAAAGTGAAAGAAGCTTTTGAAGTCAAATTAGGTTAAAAAACATACAATCTAATTAAACATTAATGTATTTTATGCCAGAATCATACAAATAATTCAATAATCTAAACCATGCATTTTGAAGTGAATTTAAGTTAAATTCGAAGTTCTTTTGAAATGGTGTCATGGCGACAGCTGCCAGGTAGGTTATCGGTAGATATATTTTAAAGTTGGCAGGTTGGTATATTTCAGAATTAGCAGCTGTGATATCTTAATTATAATTGAAAATTATTGTAAATTAATTGTTTATATAAATTCTAAGTTTATTTTATTATGCCATTATATTATTTACTTTTAACAATCTTTTTTTATGTTTTATTTCATATTTTATATGGATGTAGGTGGCAATAAATTAACAAGTGGTGAGGCTAAAATGTATGTGAGCACTGTTGTAGTCTAACAAGGGAAAAATATTGAATATACCATGCATACTTATTTATTAACTATGCAAATTTTAATGCATATAAGAAATAAATGAAATAAGAAGTTTTTCGTGACCATGATATTCTAGTTATGTAACAAGCAAAAGTACACAAAATTTAAAATTTTGCTTATACTGCTTAAAAAAAAAAAAAAAAAAAAAAAATCCAGTTAGTGAGTTGTCTGTTACAAACCAAAAATTCTGTTAAAAGTACACCCAGAGCTACTGCATTTAATGTAATTCCGACTCTTTTGTGATATTCTGTACATTAAATTTATGTAAATCATTTTCAGTGCATGATACAAGGGTTGGAACTTTAATAGTGGTAACACAGCTGAAAAAACGCTACGCAACAAAACCAAAGAATATCGCGTATACCACACGTGAACTACATACCTACCTTACCTCTCAGCAAAAAGACTCATCCTGTCTACGTCACGCGCATGCGAGTGAGTGAAACGAATCTTTGTATTAGCTTGCGGTCTAAAGTAAGTGTTGTCAGATGTTTTCAAACAAGAACAATGATATTGGATAAAATTTATGTGCCAGAGATCGTACAGCACGAGTGTCATCAAGGGCTTCAAGAGGCTTGCGGGGAATCTGCATTGCCTTACAGAACTGTAGCAAGATGGGTGAAAGCATTCAATGAAGGACGCCAAAACGTGGCAGACATGCTGCAGCCAGGTCGTCCAAGTGTCAGCGATGCAGACGTGCAAGCTGTTGTCGCACTTATGGACAGTGATCGCCGCCAAACGATTTGTCAGCTGGCCGCACAAACAGGATTAGCGAATACGACTGTGCTGCACATTCTGAAGGAATGCCTGTCCATGAGAAAAATTGCTTCATGATGGGTTCCACATCAATTGACGGTAATGCAGAAATGGCTACGATACGATGCTGCCCGAACCCACCTGGAGCGCTATGAGTGCGAAGGAGATGCTTTTTTACGCCGTATCATTACGCTGGATGAGACTTGGGCCCAATCCTATCAGCCAGAACTGAAACGCCAATTAAATGAATGGCGTCAACACGACGTTCGAAATTTTGTCAGAACTGTGTACAACTGTGATGGTGTCGTCCTAACGCATCCGTTCCCCCACAGCAGACCATCACTGCACAGTATTACTGCTCATTTTTGGAGCACAATCTCCGACCAGCTTTGAGAAAAAAAACGGCGACACTTTCTGCAGAACCCTCCTCTCATTTTGCATGACAATGCTTAGCCGCATGCAGCACAAGCCTGTGACTGATTTGTTCAAGCGATGGGGCTGGGAAGTGCTTTACCATCCACCATACTCCCCAGATCTAAGCCCTTGTGACTATGACTTAATTCCTAAGATGGAGGAACCACTTCGTGGCACTCGCTTCCAAACTGTTCCTGAGATTCTTGCGGCAGTAGACCGGTTCATTCAAACTATCAACAAAACAGGTGCTGCTACAGGTATTCTGTGACTTCCATATCGTTGGAAACGTGTTGTACACAATGCTGGCGACTATATTGAAGGACTATAAAACATGGTGACATGAATAACTTTTGTATTCCTTGTAAATAAATAGTTGCCACTATTAAAGTTCCTACCCTCGTATTTTATACACAATCACATGCTGTATATATAAACAAAATAACAATATGAGTAATTTTATTCTGCAATATGTACAAAGTGTTGCAAAAAGGATCACACAAATAAATATCTCTTGGTTCTGTTTAAGAATTAAATGAAATAAGAAAGGTTTCCTGACCATGATTTGATTATGTGACAAACAAAAGTGCACAAAATTTAAACTTTTGCTTATGCTGTTTAAAATTTTTTTAAAATTACAATTAATGACTTGTCTCTTACAAACCAAAAATCATGTTAAAAGTACCACCATAGCTACTGCACTTAATGTAAAACTGATAAAAATATTGAAGTAAAAAATTCAAAGTTAAATTGAAATCTCTTCCTAAAACTGATAAAAATATTAAAGTAAAAAAAAAAATTTTAGTTAAATTGAAATCTCTTCCTCATGGAAAACAGCTAAAGAAGAGAAAGAAAAATATTAAAGTTTCATTTTTTGAATGAGTGCAAAGTATCTAAGTAATTGAAAAATTTTAGCATAGAAATTTTGCAAAGCATACCTTTGCACCTTGGTCTACATTTTTTTACAAAAAAATTTTGATTGCAGCTCTGTCTTGCAGTTTTTGAGTTATCAAAGGTGGCTTATGTTATTTGCTTTAAAGTGAAAAGCTGATTTTATTTTTTATTCTTATTTTTTAGCTCTTATACTGCTGTTAGTCTTGAAACATTATTTTGCATAGATTAACTTTAAATATCCTCCACTATAATCTTTTTAATCTGATTGATTTAACAATATATTAATTCATGATATATCTAATTAAAAGCATTAGATATTCTTATTGAATTACGTTATATATTTTCCCACTTTTTAAACATAGTAAAGATATATAACATTCCCATGGTAATGTAAGCAAAGAATTTTATGGGATATTAAATGTACATATATCTAATAATAAATGGTTTGCTATTCCACCTGGGTTATCTCTGTTGATAATTTCTGCTGAGCGAACCATAACTTTAAAATAGCCCTTTTAGGTGAGCATTAAAATCTGAACCCTTTCACATTTTGTTATCACTGTTTTTGAAGATTAAAAATAATAACCACATATATAATAGACTTCTAATTAAACTTTGTAATATTATGAATATGTATAATTTTTATTCTGTACTTGCAGTCTGCAAGAAGGATATTTTGATTTAATTTTACTTATTTTATTTCAAACTCTTTACCTAATAATATATATGTATCTGTGGAATCTAAGAAAATAAAACCTTGAAAATTCACTTTAGAAAAGTAATTTATTCCAGAACCATTATATAAATCCAAAGAAGGCAGTAGAGTTAACTATTGCTTGAAACTCATTCTTAAATCATCTAAACTCATTCTCAATTTTTTTTAGCATTAGATTTTCTTTTTTTTTTTTTTTTTCCTTATTTTCTTCTGGTTTTAATTTGGGTATCTCTCTTATCTGTATGTTCTGTACCTATTTCATGTAGAAAAGAAAATATTGAAATCTTTATATATATATATAATATGCATATGATATTTATATACAAGGATTGGACAAAATATAGAAACACCAAAATAGAAACGTTTTTCTGTGACTAATACAGTGTAGGAAAATTGTTGGCATTTAAAATGGCGTGTAATCTAGGAATGGGTAAATAAGAGGTCTTGTTTGCTTTGCAAGGGAATTGTATACCATTCTTCCTGTAAAACATTGGCAAGATCATTTTATGATGATGGTGGTGGATAGCACTCATGAAAATTTCTCTCCAAAATAGCCCTTAAAGGCTCAATAATATTGATATATGGTGACTGTGGTGGTCATGGCAGATGTGAAAGTTAACCCTCATGCTTAGAAAAACACTGCTTGATGATGTGAGCTGAATGAACTTCGTCGTCTTGGAATATGGCATTACCATTGATAAACAAAATTTGTACCATGGGATGAATGTAATCAGCCAAAATGGTCACATAATCCTTGGCAGCAACGTGACCTTGCACAGTAATGATGGTTCCCATGAAATACCACAATATGGCTGCCCAAACCATGATCGAATCCCACCATGTTTACTCTCGGCAGCAAACAGTCTTTATCAGACTTAAACTTGCCCAGAAGTCAAAAACAGTGTGAAGCAAGACTCATCTGACCAAATAGCAGTCTTTCATTGCTCTACAGTTCAGGTTTTATGACTGGCACCATTTTTTCCTCTTACATTTTTATCACAGATGAGTGGCTTTTGAATTGCAGTTCGTGTAGAAATACCTTGCTTGTGAAGCTCCTTTCGTATTGTTTTGGTGCTGACAGTGTTTGCAAGTGTAGCATTCAGCTCAACAGTTACTTTTGAAGCTGTAGTCCTCTTATTTTTCATCATAATTTTCTTCAATGATCGTCTGTTATGACCACCCAACACACATTTTTGTCCTTACTGTGATTTAGAGGATATGGTTTCTCTGGTTTTGCTGTATGAGTCAAAAATCTTAGATACTGTTCCTCTTGAAATACCAAACACTTCAGCCACCTTGATTATGAAAGCACCTACTACACGAACTCCAACAATTTGCCCATGTTCGAATTCATTTAGCTCCAACATGATGCACTCACAACTGTCCAAAATACTGTCTCTGTAATGAATGACGCTGAAGCATATTTAGGATATTGTACAGGTGGTGTTAGTGAGCAAACATATTAGTGCCACCAACAGCTTTTGCATTTCATTTCAGCTTTTTCATTTCAGTTCAAACGTGCATTTTATAAAGTTTTTCCATATTTTTGGCCTACCCTATATACATATATTACGTGTGTGTATATATTCTGTGTATATAACAATTTCTGTAAAAATAAAATAAATTATGTATAAATACACACACAATATCATTCACATATTCCATTTATTCTGTAATCTCTTTTATGCATTTTAGTGATTTCTTCTACTTCTTATTCAGATTGAGCTTGATTTGTTAAGAACATTACCCAATAATCGACATTATGAAGATCTTGATTCAGATGGCATACCAAAACTCAGACGAGTCCTTTTGGCCTACAGCAGGCATGACCCTATCATTGGCTACTGTCAGGTAAGTTTACATGTTTATGTTTTAACTTCATCTTATAATTATGACATATACAACAAGTTGACAAAGCCCATCTGTTTGTCCTCATCTATGTCAGATGTTTAAAAAAAATTATGTGACCAAATGGGAAGAATTACTTAATATCATTACCTATAATAAGAATGCCAGTGGAATAGCCCAAGGCAGGCCATGGTAAAATAGCCATGAGAAAATGACTTTCAAGAGTGAATAATTATCGTTTAATAATACACAAGAATATTTAAGCTTTTATACAATAGCAAATTAATGTCAGGTATTATATAAGAGAAAATAATATTTATTGAAGGTAAAAGGCCATAATCCATGACTGATATTAAAAATAATTAAAATATTTATCTTGTTGAATATATAGATTATAATAGATTAATATCAAATATTATAAAAGAGTAAATAATTGTTATTACAGGAGATAAGACATAATTGTCCATACCAGGTATTATAAAATAGCCAAATCCCGTCAATGGCTGCATTCACCTTTAAACAGTGTCAAAGAAGGATTTCATTTAAAAAGATAGGAAATAGGAATTAATTTTCACTTTCCCTTTGAGCATACATTTGCAAAGGGAACTCCTGCCGTTTTGAAACCATGCTCAGATGCAAGCAAAATTAAATATATACAACTTAAATCGCCATCTGAAAGTATTTGTGGAAAATTATGCAAACATGGAACATATGGACTTTCTTCATGACATTTCACATTATATAGAAATATAAGTTGGGTGTATTAAAATACTAATATATTGTATATATATTTTTGAAAATATGTAAATGTTTATGTCTAATAAATAGTTAAATTTTGAATTTTCACTATTTCATTGGAGTCTGTTGATAAAGGGTATATTTAGTCTTGGGCTGTTTCTTCGAATTATTTAGTGGAGCTATTTAGTCTCAGGCTGTTTTGATGAGGTACTACCTTATGCATGTGAAAAAAAATATCTTATATAAATCATATTCATTAGGCCCATAAAATTGACATTTTTCAGAAAAGTAAGAAGAGTGCAGGGCATAATTTAAAGAAAAATGTGTTAATTTTGCATGTTGTACATCAATTTATTCTAAAAGGTCTTTGATAAGGTAAGGACTAAGTTCCATATCAGACACTTTCTTTGAAAGAGAGAAAATGTTAAAATTTTGTGTAGTTTTATTAGGTGGTATCGTGTTCTAAATTCTTATAGAGTAAAAGTCTCCTTACATAATTTATTTTTTAAACTGGAATGACAGGTCAATGACTAATTGTTAATTAAATATTTAACCATGCACTCTTTTTAAATTATTTTGTATGAATCTATTTCACTGTGCATTTCTGTTCTTTCAAAAGTTTATAATTTTTGAAAGTTTCTACTGTACATGCAAATCCTGTTTCTCTGCTCTAGTATGGTATGCCCACAGACTTCAACTATTACGAATTCTTCAATGTTTTTATGGAAATTCCTTAAAAACTCTGAAAGTGCCAAAAAGGCTATATATTTTACTGAAAGGAGGCGAGGGAAATAGTATGTTCATGACATCATGTATTGCATGAAGAGTAATCAATTGTAGTTCAGAAAATTCTGGTCTTTTCTTTCTAGCCAAGCACTCTGCAGGAGAGGGCTTGTTTACCATACAAGTCCTGTTCGGTTATATTATGGCAAGAAGTCGTAGCATTTGTTTCTTTTGAATTGTAATTAAACTTGAACATTTTTAAGTTTGGTAATTATGCCACCTCAGAATAAGAGGTTAAAATTATCAAGCTGAAATTTAAAGAGTCATGTTCTACAGAATTTACATGCATTGAATCATCTAAAGTTTTTGCAAATCATGCACTTTGCACTAACAACAAAGGTTTTTTAGTTGCACATAGCATAAAAGTTGAATTGGCTTTTTTTTATATAAAATAAACAGTTCACGATCATCAATTCACAGTCTTTCATCATAAGAGGAGCTCTGAGTATTCCAAGTGTTAATATATAATTTCTATCTTCCAAGATATGTTTTAGAAGGCCCACCAGTAGCCGAGGAGTAAAAATCGCTGAACACTAGTAGTTCAGTCTTGGGATAGAATCTTGAAGAACAGGCTGGCTGAATAATATATACAGGGTTCGTACGGTCCTTAAGAGTCCGTAAAAGTCCTTAAATTTTTTGGAATCGATTTTTGGACCTTAAAAGTCCTTAGTTTGGGCCAAAATCAGCAGAAGGTCCTTAATTTTAATCATCTGAAATTTGTCTGTTTTTATGAGTGTGAATTAGCATTTTGGAGGAATATTTTTGGCGACTCACTGACACGTATGTTTATCTTTTGAATGGGTTATAATTTGTTTCTATTTCTAATATAAATGATGGGATACTCAGTTTCTAAGCAAGAAGTGAAACATAAATATGTAGCATATAAAACATAAGCATTTCGAAATTCATTTTTTCTAATAAAGAAATCTTAAACAACTTTTCGCTTTTGGGGATGTGAATTCTTTTATTAAACGGTTCTAAATTTGGCGCCTTGTCAACATTTTGGCGATTTTAAGATCAGTTTCTATAGAAAATTTCTAATACCGAGATCTGAGAATTTTTCAACGATTTTTTTTAAAACATCACAACATTGATAAATTCATTAAATAATGGTAATATATTGAAATTATATTTAAAAATACATTAACATTAAAACATCTCTGTTTTTGGCTGTCATATTATAAAGTTTTGTTTTGGCAACTTATTATACAATATTATAAATCTGAAAAAAAGGCATAATGCTATAAAGCGTAATTTACAAAACAGCTCTTAACAAGAGCAAAATTAGCTATGTAATTAATTAAAAATGTCTTCTTTTTAAATTTTTTCACAGTAAGCGTTTTTCCCGTCTCAGAATATTCAAAATTCTCAAAATATGCATCAGTTTTCTCTATAAAATTGATTTTTCACTTTTCCCTCCTTTTTTTTTTTTTTTTTTTTTTCCCAAAATATTTCTGCCTTTTTGCTGTTACAGAATGACTATTTAACTTTTACCAGATCAAGTAAAATTTCGTTAGGTAGACTGTTGAGAGATTGGCAACTTAGGAGATAAAGCATGCAGAAACTAGTTGGAATATTGGTTTGTGTATTGAAACAGATTTCTAATTGTTATAAAAGATGTTTGAAGAGAAGGAAATTGATATAAATTAGCTCAAAATGTCTGGGAAGGGCTTCAAATTAAAAAGACGGATAAATATTTTGTTGAGTGTATAGCTTGTTACAAAAACATAAATGTTTTGTAGCTATTAATGTGTATCCCAATATCGTTTAAGAATCCAATGTCATAAATATACATGTATTTTAAACTGTGAAAATGTGTATTTTAGTATTGCTTTATAACAAATGCTTTTTTAACAGATATTGTTAAAAATAAAATTTAGTAGTGGCCATGTAAATCCATTATGACTAAGGTTATCTAATTACCTAATTTAATTATTTATAACTAACTACTGCTTACCCTTAAAAATTATGTCTACATATTACAGAGATTTATTGCCTTTCATTAACACTCACTGTGGTCACAAGATAAAACACAAAAATGTAAAAATTCAAGTAAAACTTATTCTTTGCATCTAGTGAAACTTAAAAATAATACAAAACAACTTATCAATTTTGGTACTTTAATCGCTTATTGGAACATTAAAGTATATTAACTGGGCTACAACCCCTTGGAACTCCACACAAAGCTATGATACTAACTGCATCAAACAGAGCCTGACTAACTTTCAACACTTCCCAACTGTGTCTACATCAGTGTTATGAGTCATGCTGATTATGATCTTACTTCTCATTTTAACCTATGCCTTTTGACATAAAATCTACCTGCTATTTACTAAACCTCTAGACTAAGTATGTGACAAAATGAGACATAAAAAAATCAACATAAAGCTAACTATTAGTAAAACGTAAATGTCACTTATCTTCTTTCCAATATGTCTAACTATTGTAAGTGTAAAATGGTTAATGCTACTTGATAAATTTCATACAGTTTATTTTATTCTCAAACTTATTAATAATTGTGTTAATTAATTCATGTTTAGTAATAATGCATACTACTCAGGAATCTATTTTATTTTTAGAATGGTATTACGAAAGTGAAAATCAGGCATAGAATAATATTTTTAATTGAATTTATTCAGTTCCCATTTGCTCATAGGTCCTTAATTTTTTCATTGATAGTCCTTAAAAGTCCTTAAAAGTACTTAATTTCCATGTGCAGAAATGTGTAGGAACCCTGTATATAATTTAGAATATTAATAATGCAAGATTTGTTTACTGTTGAGTAGAGGAAATGACATTGATAAAGTGTTGGGAGATGCAACTCAGCCTTTACGAAAATACAGTTATTGATTGGAGTAGTTGTGATTGTATAGTTTTTACTCTACATCTAATTTGACAGCTAGATAAGTGGATATGTGGACCTGAAAAAATTGTCAACATAAACAAAAGTCTGTTCGTATGGGGAAAATTAAGGCTGGTAGAGTTTTTTTTTACAATACTGGATATTTAGATATTTAGTGATCGAGAAACTGGTAAGTTATGTCTTGCTCATGCTCCATATAGAAAGGAAACCACTGTTGATCAACTAGAAAGAACAATAATTTATTTAGTCTTGGTGAGCATATAAAACAGAGGAACTGGTAAAAGTAGGTTAGAGCAATATTTTACTGTGAACCATGAATTTTTATTTCTTTGGCTCATACACTAAATGTTGAAAGACTATGGCACTTAGCTGAGTGACAGGGAAAAAATTAATGAGGCATGATTCATCATCATCTTGAGTGTTACCTTGCAAAGTTCATGAGGCTAAAGTCCTTAAAGCACAAAAAAAAAAAAAAAAAAAAAAAAAAAAAAAAGGTTATAATTTGGTATTAAAAGCCATCACAGAAGTATGGCAGCCACAAAGAGTATGTGAAAAGTAAACATGAACTTGGTAATAATCCTAGCAGGAACTTGGCTTTAAACACAAAGGGCCATAACAATGAGCAGGTTCCAAAAAATTTAGTATTTACCTTTTTCAGTGTAATAAAAGTATTAGTTGTATTATTTTTTATGACTATTTAAAATGTTTCCCAGAATTATTAATAATTTTTATGGTACTCATCAAATTAACAGTATATGATGATAGAATAATGTTTATTATGGTTAATTAAAACATGGCTTTCTAGTGCACTGAAGTGTCACAGAATTAGGGATAGCAAGTCTGCCACATGACGAGTCATAGATTCAATAAGTTTGGGAAATTGCTTGCCAAACATCAGATAGAGCTATTCATAATTCAGGAAGGGTCGCTAGTGTTGTGTGATGTGGTTTCATGCCTTTCTCTAAAACACTCGAAAGGTGCAGTAGGATTTAAGTCATGGCCTGTGAGAGGTGTTGTTATCTTGCTGAAATACTCCATTTCCGTGTGACTGACAGGACAACATAAATGAATGGAGATGATTGCTCAGCAAATCCACATAATGAATCATATTGAGGTAAGTTTGGTACAAGTACCAAAGATCCCAAACTCTGCCAAGAGAAAACACCCAAGACCATGACTGAACCACCATTGCCTTGTGCAGTTCCAACTTAGCATGCAAGATCCATGGCTTCATGAGCTTGATGTCATATTCTCAGCCTCATGTCAATGTTAAGTAGTCAGAAACGAGACTCTTCACTCATTCACTGTGTTGTCTTGCCTAGGCAAAATCTGCACCTCGATGGTATTTTTGCATTTTTCTTATTTCTACGTTTTCTTCCTTCACATTCGTAGATTTGGAGTGAATAACGACGACACTTGATGAAGTATCGAAACACACTTTATTTAGCCAATATTAAAACAGGACAGCTCCAAAATCACTTTTACAGTCGTCAAACTGTTATAAACACGCTGACGTGTTCAGCAACACAGCCTTCACACTGTCAGGCAATAACGGTGGAGGTAGCTTCACTGCAAAGCACCTGAGTACAGCTCCCAACTCTGCTTGGTTGTTCTCGGAACTCCACGTGTACTCTCGAGATTCTCCATGCGATGCACTCGACGATACACAAGATTATAGCTCTCGACTCAGCACAGTCTAAGACAAAACTCACCGATGCACTCGACGACCAACTCGGGGCTAGACTTCAAGACACTCGCTCAATGACTGACTATCAGCTCGCTAGGCGAGGCACACACACACTGACTGCGGATCAGTAGGGTTTATATAGCTTTCGGCTTGTGTTCGAGAACATTCTGGGCTAAACCGGTAAGAATTCGTTCCAGAAGGTTCCGCGTCACTTCAGTGTACTATACAGTTTCATTCACATAATCCCCAACAATGTTGCTTATGCTTCACAGGAGGTAATATGGGTGTTATTTGAGAATTCATCCTTTAACTATTTTTTGTAGTTTTATGTATATATTTTTGTATTTTTAATGTTTGAATATAATAATCTTATTCATAGGGTTTAAACCGTTTGGCTGCAATTGCATTATTGTTTTTAGATGAAGAATCTGCATTCTGGTGCTTGGTTGCCATTACCACATATATAATGCCTAAAGGTTACTATAATAGAACATTGATTGCTTCTCTGGTGGATCAGGTACTTTGAAAAATAAATTTCTGTTAGTTATTATTAATATTTTGACATTTGATAATAATACATTTGCTAATTGAAATATTCATTTTAAAATTTGGTCATTAAGTTGATTGTTTGAACATATCCAAGGAGTTTACCGTATTTAGAGCTCACCTAATCTATTTTTCTTTTGCAATACAGAGAGTATTAAAAGACATCATGGCTGATAAGCTACCTCGCCTACACTCCCATTTTGAACAAAATAATGTGGATTTGTCACTTTTCACCTTCAACTGGTTCCTCACTGTGTTTGTAGATAACATTCCTGTAGATATTTATCTTCGAATATGGGATGCTTTTCTCTATGAAGGTAGCAAAGTAAGTATCTCTAAATAAAAGAGTGCTGCATTATAAAAGTATTAAATTAAAACACTTTCTGAATGAAAGGAGTTCATTAATCACAGAAATAATTTTTTTTATTTTAAAATTTCTGTAAAATAAATTTTTAAAGTATCTTTCAAAATTTTAATGTTTTTAAAATGATATTAGATAAAATTCAGAGACTTTGTACTATTAAATTTTTGTGTTGCATGCTTTTTATTTATTATTTTAATTGAAAGAATTATTTAAAACTGAAATAAACTGGTAAAATAATTGGTGAATATTACTGAATGACTGGGAAATATTACCATTTCACAAGATTATCAAAAATCAGCATATGCTCTGCAGGTTATCAGAAGAAAGCATTGAATTAATGTTCTACATTCATTAAAAAGCCCACTGTGAATGATAATAACGTTTGCATAGTATTTCATCAAGCTGCAGGAAATGAACTCTTGGGCTGTATGCTTGCTGTGGGCCATCAGTTTTCCTTCATTGATTTAGAGCAGACATAGTAATTATTTTGTTAATTTAAAGTTTTCGACTGCCCTATCGTTGGATGAGTATCAAGGTTGCTAAACATTTTTAATTTCGTTCAAGTCCAAATTCCAATAAATGGGTAGGCAGCTCATGCGATTTTCGTGATATTCCTTATGAATACTAACCAATTTTCCTTAGAAAGTGTTTTATCAAGACATGCTTCTTTATAGGTAGATAGCCCTCTCAAATGTTTATTTCAGTTAATTAACCAAATAGGTTTTGTGTAGAAACTATGAAAAAAATGTCAGTCCTCAGAATCCTATCACATATAATTGAAATTTATTTTAATATTCTCTACCTTATTTTTGAGAAATTTTGTAATTGCAAGTACTTAAAAATCAGAATTTTAAAAAACATTGCAGGCTTCATTAGTGGCTGTGTGGTTAAGCAAATACTAGCAACTCGAGCTTGATTTCAAGTGCATGAGCTGACTGTATGGTTAGTCTCCACGTATAGCATGAGTAGAGTCATTTTACTCTTAGAAAGTCTTTCATGAAAACATCCCCTCCCTTAAGTAAATAGCTCTCATATACTTTATAATATTCAAATAACCAACAAGAAAACTACAGCCTCCAGCCACCTTTTCAAACACCCCATATATTAATTAAATTTAGATCGGTATTAATCTTTCTTTGTATTAAATTTAGCCCTTTATCTGTTAAGAATGCTTGAATATCCAGATTTTTACTTCAAATGTTCTCACAACTAAAGCTATTATTAATTAAATAATTAGAAAGTATTTCATTCTAGTATCTGATCATTAACTTTTGAAACTCACATGAAAGCTATTTCTTAAATTATTAGTTATTTGATAGTGGTTTTCATTTGTAATTCTTTATTTTTTTAAATTCAGATGATACCATTTTATTTTACAGTGTGTAATTATTTTTACTATTTATCTGTAATTAAAATGTCCCAGTATCGTTTTGTTTTAGAGTTTGTAATTGATATTTCTGTTGCATTAAAATTATAACAGTGTTAATAATTAAGTTTTCTTTCTATTTTAATATAGGTGCTGTTCCGATTTGCTTTGGCATTTTTTAAGTTATGTGAAAATGAAATTCTTGAAATGAATGATTACATGGCAATCAACAAGTATTTGAGAAATATTGCTGACCAAAATATTGATGTTAAAAAGTTGGCTCATGTAAGTATGCATTTGCTGTATTTTCAAAGATTTCTTTAAAAACAAAAAGTTTATATAAATACAGATGAGTTTAAATAAACCGAAAGTGAATGGAGCAGGGTTTTGATTTATGAAAGCAAGATTTTTAACTAACCGCACTTAAAAACACTGAGGATTCTACAGAGACATGCAATATATTCAAAAACCCTATACAAAAGTGTCAAATATATTACTGATAAGAATTACTTCAATGCATAAGAAATGCTCATAAAATCAGGCAATTAAATTTTATTAGTTGCATGTTCAAATTAAAAATTGGTACTTACATATTTTGTCGTCGAGCATTTTTAACAATGTTTTCAAACAGTGCAATTTAATGCCATTAATGAATAAGCATGATGTTGCAGCACATTCACAAGATCTTTGTTTTAGTTTTGTGTAACCCTGATCCTCATTAAGCAGGTTAGTTTTTGCAAAGACGATCATACATTAACTACTATTTTCCTGTATTTCTCTTGCATTTTGATAGATGAAAAAATAATAATAATATTTGGGACCTGCCTTCAACATAACAAGCAGTGTAGTATTTTCAAAGTTATAAAACCTGTTTTGCTGTTGGGTATACTCAAAACATTGAAAAATTGTAGGTTTTGCCAAAATAACGCAACATCACTGATTCATGTTTAAATGAATTTATGTCCCACTGAATTCATACAGAAAGGACAGTTTTATTGCTGTTTTACAATGAGTCCATTTCAGAATGATTAGAGTTGGGTTTAATGACTTTATTTGTTAAATAATCTCAGTTTTAATTGAAAATTTATCATTCAGCTCTTTATTTTACTTTTATTTTTTATTTACAATGGAACTCGAAGAGCTGGAATAATAAGAGCTGGTCAAAAGGCCTCAATAGCCAAACTTATTAGTAAAATAGATAAGAACATTGAAGAAAATAAGCCAGTTAGTAATTTAATGGTATTATTAAATCAGTTGAGCACTAAAATTGAAAACATGAGAAAGAATTCATCAATATAAGCTGATATTTATGTTTTTATATGCTACATTAATAACTTATATCTGTTGATTATCTAATCAAATAAACAGTAGTTGATTCCACCTAACTTCTGGAATGATTGATGCAAGTTTGGCAGAATCATTGCTGACTTTCATGGTCTGTGGAAAAATATGTAAGTAATAAAAAATTGATATGTAGTCACACGAATTCATATGCTAAAGGGATAAAGTGAATTAGTTAACATACGTTCAACTTTGAAATGATAATGGAAAGCTAAATAGTTTCACTTTCTATGGTAATGTTTCTTTTCCTTTTGAAGCTTATGTAAAAAAAGCATTAATATAAACAACAGCAATAAAAAATCTTAACTTATTCTTTTACTTTCTTAACTCTTTTGTTTCATTTTTAATAAAATTGCAGATTGTATTTTTAAAACAAATTGCAGTTGTATATTTAGTGAGTTTTTTAAGCATTCATTAAAAGAAAGAAAAAAAAAAGCAAAGAATGCAGTTTCTTTAAGGGATAATTAATTGATTCAGAAAGCAATCAGAACTCAAATTATTTTGAATTTACATGTTTTACAGTGAAATTTTGTGACATAACCATTGTCATCTAGGAATAATATATCTTATGTTGTTGTTGTTACACGTTCTTTTAATCTGAACCAGATCAGGTTCATGCAATTCATCATGGCTAAGATGAGAGAGTAGTGTATATTGTTGGCTTAAAAACCTGTTTTAAGTTAAAGAAGCTTTAAACCCTGAAATACGACATAGTTAAAATATGACATCTGAAAAATTTCATTTGAATTTTGATCGACAACTATATCAGAAGTGGAATCCAAGAGTCTTCTTTTTCCATAATGTAACTTCTCAAGAAAATTTTCTCTGTATGAATTTTTAGTGCCAACATATTGCAAAGACATAATGCATTTACAAACATTCATATCTTCTCTAGGATTCAAATCTAGTTCCAACAATATGACAGCAGGCTTTGCTAAACTTTTTACTGACTAAGGTGAGAAGAAATAATATGTGATTTTGGCTTATCCAGAAAGACTGTAATAAAATAATTCCATTGTCATTATGTTAAAAAAATATTTGACATATTAGATATTTAAAGAAATTATCTTTATAAAAAAATCTTAGATTATTTTTTACTATGTTTTATTTCCTGAAAACATTCAGTAACCATGATAATCAAAATTTCAGATTATCACGGCTCCAGTATACCATAAAAGTCAAATAACGTGGGATGATCTGGACATAAGTGAGGACGAATTATCATACTAGTAATGTTCTGTAATGCTGCACAATGATTATTTTCGTGATATCAAAAACTGTATATAATAATGCTATAAACTGATTTAATGAATAAAACTTATTGGCAAATAAATTTATTCATAGTTTAATTATATTTAATCATAAGAATTTACTTTGAAGGAAGTAATTTTACAAGGGTAAGAGGTATAATGTTCTAATGTCTAGTTGCTTCACAGATTCCAACATTTTTTTTTCATACGTCTCATTCTGTGGAATATGAATATTCATTATTTCTCCAATATTATATTGTTACAAAATGTTCAGGCGCGGTAAGATGGCTTCCCCGCAAAGCAGCTTTAGGGTTGCCATAAAATGTCAAGGGAAGTCAGGGTTGCCACATTTGGCAAGAAATCGCTCATTTGGCGACATGCCATGGACAGATGGAGAACCTTTTGGAACAAATTCTTACCGGTTTAGTCCAGAGTATTCTCAAACCTTGCTAATTGCTAAGCTTCCATCCCAGATGGTATTTTGAGGAATACTCCAGGGCACAGTTCAAGGGTCTTCCACCCCCTTCCTCTATTACCAAGCTCTCAAGAGGATTTTGGCTGACCGTATCTGTGAATACCACTTTGCCACACAAACACTATTCACTTCCATGCCTTTTCTGGGATTTGAACTCTGGCCTTTCAATATGGCAGTCAGAGTCTCTAACCATTGTCCTGTTTGGGTGCCATTGTAAGTTTAAAGATGTTGTTATTTACTGTGCATATACTGCATGTATACCTGATTTGCATATTAAAGGAAAATTTAGAAATTTTTAGCAGCTATTTGGCCATATACGTTTTTTATAAAATTAACTGTTTTTTTCATGCACAGTTGCTCACTAATTAGATTTCACCTTTTGGTCTTTTGAGGAGAGAAAAAGATGAAACTATGTACAAAGTGATAGTTGTGTTCATGTATAACTGAATTGTAAAATTTCATGCATTCAGATGCAGTCAAATTTTAAAATTTTATTTGTTCACATATAATATTTTCTGCATTCACATACAGTAATATCTCTATTCACATATATTCAAATTGTAAAATTCAATATATTTACATGAAGTTAAATTATAAAATTTCAATTATTCACATACAGTCTAACTGTAAAATCTTACACATTAACATGCAGTCAAATTTTAAAAGTACAGGTATTTACATGCAGTCAAATCCTAAAATTTCATATATTAACATAAAATCAACCAGCAGAACTTCATATATATTCATATTCAGCAGAACTTCATATAATAATATATATTCATTCATACAATTTGAATAACTTTTTGAAGAGTTCATCAGCTTGAAACTTCACAGGCAGGTTTTGAGCCTTAAAAAATTTAATTATGAAGCAAACTTCGCAGGCAGGTTTTGAGGCTTAACAATTTAGTTATGAAGCAAATTCTTTTTGCCAGTTTATGAAGGACCAGTTATTGTTTTGGTAATAAATATGGATAAACAATAAAATATGTGTAATTAAAATATCGTAATAAAAATGGACCAAAATTTTTGGATTTTTGCGAAACATCATTAATGATGTCAATTTAATGTCTAAGGAACTCTAAATAAATATTCATAATAAATGAAAGTACAGCTCATTCAAATACTTAAGAATCAAATTCTTCCCTTATTTTAGTGGAGCAATTGCATATTTACTGTAATACTAGTGAGGGAGTTATGTTTTTTCGTAAAAAATATAGATGTTATTGAAGAATTAAATACATTTATATCTGTAAAACAAATTGCTGTTGTGACAGAATTGAACATTGAAAGTATTTGAGATAAAAAGTTAAATATAAAAAAAAAGGTAAATAAAGTTGACCTACAATATTATAATCAGCTTTAAAAGGGACAATTTATCTAGATATTTAAAAATAGTATTATTTTGCGGGGATATATTATATACTTACTCTTTGCAATGCCAGTGAAGAATTTTATTTATTTTTATCATACATATATTTATACAAGGATGAATTTAAAGAATAGCTTAAAGGCAGTTAAAAAGTAAAATATATTATGTTCCAGTAAAACAAAGCTCAAAACATTTTTTGTTTTTGAAAAAAATAAAATGGCGAAAGGATTTTTGAATTATTTTTTTGTTTTTGTAAGTGTTTGTATTAGTTTATATTATTAATTTATATTAATTTGACCTAAGATTAAAGAATGAAATATATTTTTATTTTCCCTGACCAAAAGATTATAATTCTTTTTTCTTTCATTATTCTGAAATTAAATAAGGAAGTCATTATTTTCTCTAAACAAAATTCATAATTTATTTCTGTTCAGCTAAATTAAACTGGAGCATTATTATTATTGGTTGGCATAATATAATATTACTATTAAAATGATTCAGAAAATAATTAAATACAGTTGCCTGTATGCAATATGTAATTGCTTTTTTATTAGGATGCATGCTTAGTACTAATGGTTCACCAAGTTTTGAAAAGAAAGTTTTAGGCATTGCTGTATAAATGTTTGTCTACTCCTTTTGTTACATAGCACAAATAAAAGTTGTGCTCTGATTTTACCTACACATGTTGTAAATTTTTCTCGCTGCTGCTCACCAAATGAGCTGAAATGTGTCTTGGTGATCCTTTGCTGCCATATAACAGAGAGTAGGTGACATAAACATTACCTTTGGTAATGGACATAAACATATCATAAACATATCATTAATTTGGACATATCATAAACATATCATTAATGATATGTTTATGTCCAAATATAATTAGATCATTATATTTGGACATAAACATATCATTAAAGAAAACAATCACAGTTCATCAGTTTGGGAAATAGTTGTGGATATCTGAGCAATGCCAGGTTGTTATCTTCCTGAAAAATCAATCCAATGACATGAGGACTCATCATCCAAATGGTAGTGTGGCTCAATGGGTCTATGAGGAAAGCACCATCTTGGCTGGACTATGATAGTTTCTAAATCATTTACTACAACTGCAAAATGTCAAGATACAACATACCCGTAACTGTGTTAAAGAAAAAACAAGCACATATACATTGTCTGTGAAATAGCAAAAATGAGCATTTAATTTTGTTTTTGAATTCCATTTCTGTTATGTTGGAGTATAATAGTTTGCCACGACTCTTATCTGGACATTGTAACAGTTTATTATATCAACCATATGAAAAATCTTCTAAATAAGTATTATGCAGGCAACAGAATCATCATTTTGTGATGCTTCTTGCATACATGTACAAAATTTGTATTACTGAATATAATCATGTTGCTCTTAATGTTCCAGTATTTGAAAACAGCAAGATTTTCAACTTGCTGATGGCATCACAAAATCTTTCAAATAGTTGGCTGCAAAATACGAAGTTAATTGGCTAGCATGATTTGCTTTCTTTTGTGCACTCCTTTTGAAAATCATTAAGTATTTTCTTCTATTTCATTTAAAATGTTTGCCCATATAAGGCTGTTCTTTTATACAGACAATCCATATTGTTTTGCTGATACTGTTTTAAAATGTTGCAGGTAAACATTTCTCATACTCTTAAAATGCAAAATGCTGTCTGTCGCAAACGTGTCATTTTTAAAATAGGGTTCTTTCCTGCACTTTGATGTGTCTGCATGTGTGAATTTGAAATTAAATATTTTCTTCTGTTGTGAATATCAAGAGTGTGTGCAGTCTGTAAATTAGAAGTTATAAGACTTCAAAATCCAATGAATGGTGTATAATAACCGACTACATATTTTCTGAAATTTTTGACTAATCCATGTATTAACTTGAAAATTTCTTTGAAATCTTATATGTTATGCTTTATTTTCTTTTAATATTGTTTAGTTAAGTAAAATATAGGTAAGTAAATTAAAAATGAGGCAAAATGAGTATGGCCAATACTTGAGGGTTTGAGGTATTTAGAGCTCTAATGATTAATATAAATAACCATAATTTTTGCTGTGCCATTGTAAGATTACAAGGGACATTTTTAAACTTCACAATACTTTGTGATAGTTTATTTATTTAGAACGTGCAGTTAATTTTGATAATCTGTATTGAAGTGTTAGTGTTGTTCAGGAAGAAAAATATTTAAGTGGTACAAACACACATGTTGAGGTAAATTTTTCTTGCATAATGAAGTAATCTGCTGTATAAATTTAAAGAAAGTGATAATTACTGTGATATATATATATATTTAATCTGGACTATGCATATTGCTTTCAGAAGGCATTATATACAGAAAATTATCATTGTATATTTTGTTTAGTTCGAAAAGACAACTCAGACAACCCATAGTTTTTTCAACTGAACGTTCATTGTATTTCTGTCAAGAATATGTATCGAGTATAAGATGCCTGCAATATTAGATTTTATTTTGTGTGTAAGTTTTATACTGAAGTAAATAAAAATTAATTTCACAATTTCATTTGAATGGAAACTGAATTAGATTGTCTCTTTAGGCAAATGAAAATAATTCCATTGGTTTGTAATAATAATTCCATAGTTTAATAATGAATTTAATAATCAAAAATAATTCCATAGTTTTGTAAAAAAAAACAATGTTTTGCTTATGAAGGTATATTTGTTAAATTTTTAGTTGTAATTTGGCGTTGACGTAAAATACAATAATAAAATAAATGACAAATTAAAATTCTCTCATGGGCATTTAAGTAAATACACACTTTTGGTCTCCAGGGGGGTAGGAATTAAAAACAGTTATCCCGACTTTTTTAACCATCTAATGGGTTTGGCTCTAATTAGATTGATATTTGAGGTCTTCTTAAGGCCTACAGAAACTAAAATATTTGATATACTAAACAAATAAAGATATTTGCAGTTCTTATTTTAGGGAAATAGTTAATTATTTCTCAATCATTAATTTTATCTTTTCTCAACTTGATGTAATTTATCGTATATTGTTCCTTAAATGGTTCACCATATTCTTAAACTGCTTATACATATTTTTTATTATTATTATTTCTTATTTGTATATCTGGTCACACAGAACATACCAATGTTTAAACGACATCATTTTTATTTTTGATGTCATTCATTGAGTATATCTGAAAGTTGAGTTTTATGCATTAAGTTTTCTGTTCTAATTTTTCTAAGTATCATGTGGGATTAACATTTAACTAAAATGCTCCAATAATCTTAAGTTAAAATATCTGTAAAATAAAAAGTAAAAGCTGAAAATTGGGAAGAACAGTAAAACATTTCTCAGATACTGATAGTGATCTGTTGCAAAGAAAGTTGTCAGTAAAATATGATAGATCATTAATTTACTTCATGAAGCTCATTCATATTTCAGGAAAAGAAATAATTAAGAAGAAGCGAAAGCTTTCAAAGTTATTACATTTTTTTAAGCTTCTGTAAATTTTTTTTTTTTTTTTTTTTTTTTGTGTGTGTGTAAAATTTATTCTTATTTTTAATATAATATTTCAGAAGATTAAGTATTCATACTAGGGAAGGTTCATTGTAATTTTAATAATTTAATAACTTTTTTAATTATTATTCTTAATTTATCTTAATATATGGTGATTTATTACTCGTGTTTAACCTGCCTCAGAAGCTTCTGTTTATTAAGGTGTATGTTTGCAGATTTCGGATCATAAATCTTGTTTAGAAGTGCAGGATTGGGAAATTTATGGTGTCGTTCATTAAGTGGTTTCAAATGCATTTCTTCTTCTACACTTTTCTTATGGTGCCTTTGAGGTGTATGCTTCCTAGATTGTTTCAGTTTTGGGGCCTGAGATGGATTGGCTTGCTGATGTTGAATCTGGAAATAAGAACGTTAAAATAATATATTAATTGCAGCTGAACATCATTGAAAACAGTGCTTAAATTCAACTAGACCTAGAGTATGCTAAAGTGCAATTGCAGTAGTTTTCTGTTTTTGAAAGAAATTTTTGATTTCAGCTCTATCCCAAAATGAAATTAGATACTTTATTATGAAAATGAATTGCAATATCAGCAGAATATTCTGAACTATAATTTTTGCAAAGAAATAAGCATTAAGCAAATCAATCTTATTTTGATAATTGGTAAATTAATTAATTGGGTTAATTAATTGTATGATATTAACTAAAATTAATAAACTTAAATATATGCATATAAAAAGGATAAGGGATATTTAAAAAAATGTTGATATGCTGGACAATGACTCCGGAACATTTGACAAATACTGATTTTAAGTCATTGATAATTTCTGCCACTCTTCTATTGTTAAATGTGGCCATCTGTTTTAGTAGTACACTTGTATATGCGAGTAATTTATTCCAGGATATATTGCAAATAACAGTAAACATTATGTAGAACAGGATATCCATGCAGTATATATATATATATATGTGTGTGTGTGTGTGTGTGTATGTGTAAATGCAGCACAGTGTAATTGATAAATTTGGCATATAGTATCAGCAGTACTAATTAATGATAAAATATATTATATATTGTCAGAGCCCTAGCTAGGACTTCCAGTGCCTGGGAACAATTGAAGATTTTGCACCCCCCCCTTCCTATTTGCCAAGAATTGAAAAGATTTCATTCAAAAATTTCTTAATAACAATTTGCCGCCACCTGAATGCTGCACCCGGGGATAGATGTTTTCTCTTCCCTCCCCCCAAGCTATGCCCCTGTATATTGTCAGTGGTGTAGCATCGGTTTCTGTCGCCCGTGGCAGATACTAAATTTGCTGCCTCTTCCTGCTGCAAAATGTGATATTATTATAAAGGTGAAATTTTCTAGTACAAAGGAAATATTAAGCTGCAAAGAGAGTTTTATTTTCTCCAAAATTTAAAACTTGGACAAACACGAAAACAAAATTTAATTACGAAAATATGTTTTACATTCTAACATTAACCAATTATTATCTAAAAACAGTATTATTGCTTTGAAAAAATTTATTGTTAATTGAAAATATTAATAAATATTATTTAAAACATAATTGACTGTTGCACTATAATAAATATTTCTTTCATTGAAAAAAATCATTTTAACAACTTTCAGAATAAAAATATATTTTAATATAAATAAATGTAGGTAACAATTTATTTAATCTTTTATTGAAAAAAAAAATTATAAATTTTCTTTTTGATTATCTCTTTTGTTATCTATTAGAAATAGAAATTAAACTCCTTTCTTAATTTAAATTTTCAGTTTTCTACTTTTCCTCATAGCAAAATCTGTAATAGCACTATCAATATCGATTAAATCAGTCATTTCATGCTCAATAGCCAAAACAGCCAGGTTAGTCAATCTCAGTGTACTCATTGTCGATCGTAAGTAATTTTTGATTATCTTCAGTTTAGAGAAGCTTCTCTCACAGCTGGCATTGCTTATGGCAATTGTGAGGAATATTCAAAGCAATATTATTATATTAGGCAGGAAATCTTCCAGCTTAAATTGCACAATAAACTTTAACACGTCAAGCAGGCTTGAATTCATTAATTTAATTTATTGCCCTTTAGCATCAACAAAAGTTTTTAGCTGCACACGTTCGAGCTTGAACTTATCTTTGTCAATGTCATAAGACACGTATTCTAAATTGAAATCCTAGTCTTCAACATCCAGTAGTTTCGATGGTGTATGAAAAGCGAATTTGTTCGACAAATTCCGTAGCTGTTGAAACCTCTCATGAATTTCTGCAGTTACCTTATCTAGCAATGAAAAGAACTTTTTTCTCAACTCATTTTCGTGGAACAAAGCTGCATCTTTACTTCTATCATCAAAAATTTGCTTCCTCCTTATTCATCTTTGTGGTTCCTTTAAAATGCCAAGGTCTTCACACAAATTTTTGGCATAACTCATAGAACCCTCTACCAATTCATTTTGTTTCTGTGTGAGCAGTTCCTGCAAAGCACTTATTTTTTTGCTGCCTCTGTCAATTTTTCTAAAGCAGTCAAAATGAACTTATAGTAGTTTCATGCCATATCTACTGGCCTCAGCAGTTGTGCTCCATGATGTATCCTGAAGTCTTTTTAATGTCTTACGCCCCATAGGTGTGTTGACATGGAAAAGAATGCATAACAACGTTCTAAAGTGCCGAAAAAAGTTACAGAATTGGTTTTGGTTGAAGCAGCATGTAAACAAACCAAGTTTAGTGAATGGTTTGAGCAAGGTACAAATTCGGCATTAGGATTTATGTCTTTGAGTCTTTGTTGCACTCCTGCATGTTTCCAGCTATGACAGCGGCATTATCATATATTTGACCTCTGCAGTCCATTATATCAAGACCATCAGCTTTAAACTTACTTAAAATCGTGTCAGAAATAGCTTCAGCAGTTTTAGTTTTTGTTTCAGTGAAATCTATAAAAGGTTCCACCACTTCTACTTTCTGATTTTCAATCTTTACATATAGCACAACTTCGCTTGTTTAATTGTTATGTGAAATATCTGAGGTGCTATCAAATATAATTTAGTTAATAATAATTAGAATAGTTTTAGTTAATTAGAATAATATTTGGCCTTTTGTACTTGACAGATAATTTATTGGAGAACTTTATCTCCTAAAATTCCAATGAACTTATTTTGAATTTGCGGTAACAGATACGTGACTGAATTTTTTGGACCCATTTTCCTGCGCACAAGGTGCTCTTGGAGTACTGGATCGTACTTTGCAAGGAGATACACCAGTTCTAAAAACTTGCCTATTCGTGCTGGTATTGTCTTCGCTGTGGCCACGAAAAGTCAAATGCTGTTTCGCTAGGAATTTAATTATATCAAACATTCTAACAAGAATTTCTTCCCACTTTTTTGTTTCCTTTGCCACAATGTATAGTTTTTTTTTTTTTTTTTTTAAACCAATAGTCTGTCGTTTTTGAAGTCTGGTTTCTAACTCCTTCCATTTGCAAAAATTTTGGTTGTGTTCAGCACTTGATTTGTGGTTGGCTACTTTGGGATTTAGTTTCTGCCAATTTTTAAATCCATTAGATGAGCAAAATTTTGATTCACTCAGTGTGTTTGTGTGACCAAACAAACAACAACAAAAGCAAAATAATGATGCTTTAGAAGGAGAATAAGCCACCCAAGTATGTAACAATTTTTCTCCATTAGTTAATGTGCGATAAAACCATTCTCACGTTAGACGCCTCTTAACTCCATTCAATGTAGTATGATTTGTGTCTGATTGTAACATTGTTGACACTTTAGTGAAATTAGTGTTCATGTGCTGTACAACCTCCAGACCTCGCTGCATAAGTAGAAATCTCATGTTTCCATTTACATGCTCAGGCCATTTTCCAACATCATCTCAATCCCTGTACTGAGTAGAAGCCGATGTCAGTGCTTCATCAGTCTCACTCTGAGAGCCATCAATAACTATATTTGAACATGCCAATGCAGGTTCAAATTTAGTAGATGTTGTTGGAATGTGGGTGCTGCAAGCTTCACATCTACAACAGGAGCCTGTGAATCTGACAAACTCGGAAGAATAAAATACAGGTACCCAAACATCAGTGTAATGTTCTAGTACTACTTCAGCTTTTTGGTTTTCAACAGCATCAGCAAGAGTATTGGAAGAATTGACATCCGAAGTGGTTGAGTCTGGCATTTTGGAAATAGAAACTTTTATGTATTTCAGGATGACCCCTTAATTTTTTTTTATTAATTTCTTCTTTGGCTATTCTTTTATTTGGATACGAAGCCCCTCTTTCTCTTACTATTTTCATTTTTAGATGCTATAACAAGAAAAATTAAATTATTATTATGACCCGATCGTTGTTATTAATATTATTCATTAGTAAGATTCCCTTAGAATTTTTTTAAAACCTAGTTTATAAACTGAAAAATTAAAAATGGAAGATTACGTTCGTACGTTTCATTCAGTGCTAAAAACACGTTCAAATGTTACTCTTCAGTACTACAGTTATTTAATTATTATAACCATTGTATACACTAATCAAATCTCAAAATCTCAAAAATAATCAAATAATCTCAAATAAATCTCAAAAAGCGAGATTCAGAAAATACTCGTGATATGATGAATTTAGAAAGGTAAAAATCATTAGATATTTTAAAAATTAAATTACTTCATGCTACAATATAAGTATTAAAAGACTTATATGAAAAAGAATGGCAATTAATTCCAATATACTTTCTCTACATATTCATTGTTAAATAATTTAAAAGATTTAACAAGACGTACCTGAAAATTTTAGAATGAGTTATCTGATTTTGTTAGAAATAAATATGGCTGGTTGAATGCAGATACAAATGCAAAGCTTTGTGAGCCTTTCAACAGAAAACAGAATCACTATTTTCTTGCTCTGTGTTTAATTATTTTCTTCCTGATTCCCACATCTTCTCTTCCGGGAAACATCTGGACAGTTTACCGCGACATCAAACTATCTTTACATGATTTACAGTACCTAATTTATTGCTGTCTTCTGCCAGCATGTATTTTCCCCCAAGACCATTCCTAAATGTTTATTCAGATCCCTTACATCCTTTGTGTAGGGGTGTCATCCATATTCGTAATTCATTAAGTACTGTTTGGCCATCTCTGACCCCCTTCGTTCACATTCCCAGGAGATTGGAAAATATACCCAACGGTGAAATCTGCTTTTCTTTCACCTCACTTACTAATAGGTTGATACTCAAAAACGAAATCCTGCCAAAATGGGAGGTGCACATTTACATGTTATAGCAGTCATATGTACAAAATTTCAATGTTCTGAGGTTACTCGTTTTTTAGTTATGCGAGACATGTGCATACATACGCCATTAAAAAATCTCTTCAGAATTCATTTTAAGTCAGTTTTATAATTTTTTGGGGGGAATAATTTTTTTCCCTTTAATCTGTCCTTACGTACAGATGTCACGCAAAAACATCGTTAAATTGCTTTCAATAGCGGTCAAAATGGATATTTTCGTTGAAATATGAAAGCCGAAATTTTTTGCTATTACAATACTCCCTTTTTACTTCGTACAAGGAAGTAAAAAATGTACATGAGGTTCCAAAGATGACCATTTTCTTCCATTCGGAAAATATGTGCACATGCATATGATCGTGATTATTGTTGAAATTCATTTAGCTTGAATCATATGCTGTGTTTCTTACGTTTTGAAACTTGGAAAGACTTTTTCGCTCTGGATGTGGGGATAGGGGAAGGGGATGGCCTTTATTTTTTATTTCATTGTTAGTTTCAATACTGAGACTGGCATCTGTGTGCAAAGAATGAAATGGATTTGGGGATCAGCAAAATGGAGGAATAAGCAATAGTGGAATAAGCGATTGCTGGACATTAAAATTGTTTTTTTATTTATTAGAGTACATTTGAAGATGGGAACAAATGCAGAGTAATTTTAAATGAAGTTTGGATTATACAGGCTTCTAGAATCTATCTAGACTTTATTTAAAATTTATTTAAAATTGACATACAGGCTGGTAGGTGGACTCCATTTAAAAAGCAGGACTTGTTCTGTATCTGTAAATAACTTTTCATATATACGGTTCTATTTATACAGATTGGCAGGTGGAAAAATCTGTCCTTACGTAAGTTACGTAGTTTAGTAAACTCAGCAAATTTCAACTATTATAATGATTCATGGTGATTATGATTTTTTTAAGCTAGTAATTGATACAGTGTTTTAACGCTTCAAATTTTGTTTCTCTTTACTATAGTTAAAACTTTAATTTCGCTTTCGAAGCTGAGGAATAAGGTATTGTTTGATAGTGGAAACTGTAAAACTGCATGTTGACTTAGATTAATCCCTGTTATTAATTTTTGTACTCTATACTTGTGATGTGAACTTTGTTATATAGTTTTATTTAGGCAAATTTGTGTAGTGTTTGGTTTAAATGTTAACTTTTCCTGGTCATACTTTCCATAGGCTTGGTAGTTGTACTTACGCTAATTATTCTGTCAAATGCAAAATTAAGCAAAAATTAATCTTGTATTGTTTTAGAATTTTATTTTGCTAAGACACTCTTTGTCTGATTAATTAAATTTACTTGGAGCCCTTTATATTCTCAAAAATTTTCATATTCTCACACACTAATACTGAAACTACTAACACTCTAATATCTTAACTTTTTGTCTTTGATTACTTTTTGCATGAGTGCACTTTTGAAATCAATAGGATTATAATTAAAAACCTACTGTTTTTATTTATTTATTTATTTAAAGCTTTCATTGCCAGGTGTTTTTAGTCATATATGACCAAGAATACTGTGTATAGATGCCAACCCTCTCGATTTTGCCTCGATACTCCTTGTTTTTTTACACGTCTCCCTGTAGATCACCTAAGCTCCCATTTTTTAATTTTTAGCCTTTACTGATGAAAGTTTTTTCAACAGTAAAATTAATTTGTGCAAATTAAGTTTCTCTTGTAAATTAATGGAACTTAAATTGAGCAAATTTCACTCCCATGGCCCTAATGGTCTTCAGCATAATTTTTCTTAATTCAATTTTATTTGATCAGAATTGTCGTAATCTCCTGTAAACAAAAGGTTTGATTAAATAGATATTTGTATTTAATTTTTTTACAGCAATGTATAGCACATTATTAAGTTTATCCACACAACAGTATGTACGTTAGCTCTTAATTTTGATCGTGTTTAGTAGTAATTTGATAAATTAAAGCTTTTTTTTCCCTATTCAAGGTTTTCTCAATATAATAGAGTGAAGGGAAAAAAGATTTATATAATTAAATATTAATAAAGAAAAACTTAAGTGTATTGTAAAATTTATATAATAGGACTAAAATGTAAAATCCTGTGCTGTTGCTGCAAAGCTAATATTTAATTTAATAAAGTTATAGAGAATATAAAGGAAATTAACTCCTAAAAAATTCGAGGTCAAATTTAGGAAGCACATGTGCACCACTGTGGTTAAAAATATTTGACAATTTAGAAAGCAAATGTGTGCACTAGGGTAATAATTAATTGGAATTTGTAAGCAAATAAATGCACTAGAATTGTCAATTAAAATGAGAGAATTATTCCTGATTTCACAGGAAGATCCCGACTTATCAAGGAAAACTGGAACCTCTCCATACTACCATCAACAATTGAAGAAAGTGCTTTTTATTTATTTATTTTATTTTTATTTTTATTTATTTATTTATTTATTTCTGTGTGTGTATCCAATATCTCAACAAATCCCTTTTCAATAATTTCTGTTCAATTTTAGAATATCCTAGTCACTTCTTATGGATTCAGATGTAGTTTTTTCGCACGTCTGTGAATTATGTCACATATCTGAATTAATAAGATTTAATTCGGCTATTCTAAAATTGAATAGAAATGTAAAATTGAGAAAGGATAAGTTAAGATAAGCGAGATGGCGAAGCACGCTTTTTTTGAATCATTGATAGTTGTATGGAGAAGTTCCAGTTCTCCTTCATTTGATAAGTCGGAGTCTTTCTATGGAATCAGCATTAGTTCTGCCATTTTAATTGACAATTCCGGTGCATTTATTTATTTACAAATTCCAATTAATTATTACCTCAATAGTGCACATTTACTTTCTAAATTTCACTTCAAATTTCCTAGGAGATAATTTCCTTTATATTTTCTATAAATTTATTTAATTAAATATTAATATATTCTACATCAGAATCAGATTATAAGCAGTTCAATTAATTGAATCATGCATTATAAAGTTAATTTAAATAAATTTTTGTGTCCTTTTAGAACTGTGCGATCCGCTGCGCAGAAACTTTCTGGAAACACACAGTTTGGAGAGCAAAAACCTCAGAGTTTTTAATGCTTCAAGGTTGACAGCTGTGATTTGATAGCTAAAAAGATATTTTTTGCTTGTTACTAAAACCATGCAACTTGTTTTTATGTGTGTATTTTCTCCTTCTAATTAGAATAGATGCTTTAAAACACTGACCTGTTGTCAGTGCTTAGTGTTGAGCTAATGTTTTGTCATGGAAAAACATTATTTTTTTTTAGAAGTAAAATATGAAGTACCCTTTCATGTTCTTCTGGACTGTGGTTTCCAAGAATTATATTTTTTTGAACTTCATCAGCTTTGTGTTGCTCTTGATCACCGGGCATCTTGTGGCTATACACGTCACCATTTTCAAAAATTTTCCACTGAAAATAAAGAAGTATGGAATGTTATGAGAAGAAATTTTTAGATTGAGAAGTTAGTTAGTAATTTTAAAAAAGATCTGTGACATGATTTAATTTGATATTGGTGTGATATCTCATTTCCAAATAAAAAAAAAATTCCAGTTACTTACATCATGGTATAATTCTTAAATGTTATTAACAATTAGGTTTGAGTTAAACCCCATTCTAACCTTCTTGATTCGTGTCATTAAATTTACTGGAATGTTTCGACAATCGCCGCTGGGTAACAATAAACTAATTCCTGCTGAGTCCATGAAAGACTAAAGCTTAGTCATTTTGCTGATGGTCAGAGGTTTAGTGGGCACTTAAACTATAGCAGTTGGAACTATTCCAAGCAAATCAGCTAAGGTACCAGAAAAACTAAGTCAGGTAACACTCTACCCAGTTTAAGCCAGACAGTACTACAACAACTAAAAAGCAACATTAGAAAAATAGCTCGCCAAGTAGAATAGTAACTGGACTGTAAGAACAAAAACTATTGTATTGTAAGCTCATTGCTATCTATTTTGCATGCACTTGTTAAAAATAATGTTCTGAAGCAGTTAAAAATAACGTAGAAAATCCAGTCAATGTGTAACTGAATTACAAGTTTACTTTGATTATTTCAGTAAACGTTCTGTAAATATGAAATTAGGTAATGTGTAAATGCGCACATAACTATCATGATTATATCTAACTATCTCATGTAACTTGAACAAGACAATGTCTGTAATTAACATATGTATGCTTATACACAGGCTTTGTATGCCCATATAATATGTATATTTGTATATGCAAGAAATAATCCCTTCTGCCAGGATGACAATTAACAGTGTAAGACTTTTACAAAAGTCTGGTCAAAGTCAACAAAGTGGTTAACCCAGGTGACGCTCAGTGGTCACTTAAAAGACTGCCGAGCCAAAAGTACTCTCGATAGGCTAATGGGAAGTGAAGACGGATGGGCGATCCTCAGATTCATGCCCCTTGTCCTTTAAATTGGGATGAAGGTGGTTAAATTCATTCTGTCGTCTATTAAGTGCCCAAGGCCTGGGGTAGGCACTACTTTTGTCTCTCATGATAAAATTCGTGAACTTTATCGGATGTTATTGTCAGACAACTAAGATAATTCACAACACACAAAATCAGTTCTGCTTCATTTTCAGACATGTTTCAAATTTCCAGAAAAGGTGCTCCATGGTCCCCAATGGTGTAATTATTTACGATAATTATCTGCTACTGAACCCTAAATTGGACTTCTGCATATGAGTTACTGCATGAAATATGTAAATTAGCCTACTGACAACATGTTGCACAGTGGCACATGTTGGAATTCGAGTGTGTAATGCTGTTTAAAGTTACTGTGTTTTTTAGAGTGATAAATCTTAGTTATTTAGGACGCATTACTTAAGTAAAAGACTTTCTTAAATAAAAGAGAAAGTGACAATTAATGGTAGGCTTGAGTTGGAGCAAACACAAATAAAGGTTGCTTAAGATCTCAATATCCCATGAAATGTCATATAAGGAACTTGGAACTGCTTTTTAAGCACTTAATCACTTATTACCGCTTTTTAAGCAGTAATCACTGATCAGTCGCCGCTAAAAACAGCAGCTGCGTCTGAAAGACAGTCGTTGTGGATAAACCAACATGATTTGACGTAACTTAGCATTTTGAAGAGTTTGTAGTCTACGCAGTGCAGAATTACTTAAATAGCCTCAAATGGGACAGGCATAGGTGATTATGGAACACACCATGGTCTCGTTAAATGAGTAACTTGCTTTCGAAAGAGTACGGAGAACTCTTTCGAAGAGAACGGAGGTTTGGGCAATTAAGGATTTGAATAATATTTTAGTGGACCGAAACATAGTGTGTTATGGCTGGGATCCACATTAATCGTATGATACCGAGGTATTTGACTTCCTTGACCCAGAGGATAACTGTGCTGAATATGCTGATATTCATCTCCAGTTTCTTTTTCCTGATGAAGAGTACTGCTTTTTATTTTCCAATTTTTTTAGCCAGGATTCATTGCATGGATGTGTTCCTGTAATGCTTGAACAATTGAACTCAGAAATTCATTTGGGATCAGACCGCGGTGTCGTCATCAATACATTGCTGTGTAATGTTCAGAGCCGGGTTTAGACTTGATAAGGCCCTAAGCTATTTAAAATATGGGGCCCTTTATAAGTCTGTTATACTATATTTTCATTTTTGGAGCCCCCAAGAAACTGGGGGCTTTAAGCTATAGGTATTAATTTATGATAGATACTTTATAGCGAACAATAAAGTATCTATCATTAAAGTAGGAATTGATGATGTTGATAATATAGTCTGGGAAACCCATAGTGATTAATTTGTATCTGAGCTCTTCTAACCATACACGATTAAAGGCTTTTGGCATATCGATAAAAAAGGGCTTCTGTTATGGATCTGTCCGGTCTTTCGACAATGAGTTCCATTACACGAATCAGAGTGCTTTTTTCTAAAGCCGTGCTGCTGAGGAATAAGGATGTTGCTCTCCTCTATAAAATTACTGATACGGTGGAGGAATAAAACTTCGATTTTTGCTTCTGCGAAAGCAAGATAGTCGGCCGATATGCAGCAGGGTCGGCTGGTTCTTTCGCAAGTTTCAGAACTGCAAAATGATTTCTGTCTTCCAATTGTTCAAGAACTCCTGTAGTTTGATCCTTGCGCGTGGAGATAGCTTACCCGCAAAGAGGGTCGAGAACGAAGCTTCTCCAGTCGAGCGGAGAAAGAAAAGTCTGCCGGCTGAGCAGCGTGAGTCAACGGTGGGCTTACGGTTGTCAGGATTGCCAGATTTGGCACAAAATCGGCCTCTTGGCGAAAATTGGTGATGTGTCGTAGACGGAGCGAGAATATTGTAGAACGCATTTTTAGTGTTTTTCCCGGGAATATTGATGGAGGTAGGTTAATGCTATATATATCCTGCCTGTACGGAGAGAGAGTAGTATGTCTTGAGTTCAGAGATCAGTTTGAGAGTGCTCGACCGAGTCAGAAACTGTACTTTATTCCTTTGCCGTGAAGCTGTCTTCACCGTTATAGCTGAAGGCTGTGCTGCTGATTGTTTCAGCGTATTCATTGTAGTTTTTCGACGAATGTAAACGTATCTTTGGAACTGTCCTGTTTACTGGCAAATAAATTGTGTTTTGATTCTTCATCAAAGTGTGTATCACCATATCAAGTGTTATCAATTATTCTAAATCTACGAACCCATAAAACCCAATAATTGGTGTCAGAAGAGGGATTTGTGAGTGAATACCAGTGGCCCGCCTACAGGAGAAAGCCTTGGCGGAGAAAACGAAGGCTTTGATAGACATGTTAGCAGCTGTAAAAGCCAGACAAGAAGAGGTGAATTATGAGATCAGGGTGGGACAGGAAAAATTAGAGAGAGAAATAAATTCCAGTCAAGAAGAAATAAAAGCCGGTTAAGAAAAGTCCAAGTCCATCAAACAGAAATGGAGCAAAACAAGAGTAGAAACGACATCGTGGAGCTTGGAGAAAAAACCGAAACTAAATTAGAAGACATGAAAGGTGAAGTTAGAAGAAACTGGAACCAAAATAGCAGATGTAGAAGAATGATTTGAAGAAAAATTGAGAAAGTTGCGGAAAGACGTAGACGTGTTGAAAGAAAACCGGACTGAGCCCAAGAGCGAACTTGCAGATTTTAAGTTTTTCCCAGTTTCTTCTCTAGAGTAATCAAACCAAGCACATACGATGGAAAATCATTATGGATTGATATAAGACCCAGTTTTCGATCATGGCGGAAAACGTGGGACTCCCACATCAAGGCCTAGCTGCATCACTCCGAGACGATGCTGCAGGCATCTTAGAAATCCTATCAAAAGACCAGATTTTGAACTTCACTGCCCTCTCGAATGCGCTGAACTGAGATTCGGGAGGAAATGCGTAAAGGACTGTAGCCGCCTACAGTTGAAAATTCTTCAATAGAAAATCACAAAAAGTCTTCAACAACTACCGACTGATATTGAGATGTTAACGCATCAAGCATATCCGCGAACTGTCCACCTGATATCTGCGAAAATCTGGCCCTGATGCATTTCGTGGATGCCGACAAGGATCCGGAAATGTAGAAGGCTCTCAGATTAGTGTATCTGAAATACCGAAAACCGCCTTGGTCTACGCCATGAAGTTCGAGTCGGTTCAGCAAGCGACTCGAAAAGTTAGAACAGCTCAAACAGAAAACCCAAATTTTGATGTCGCAAAATTGAGAGAAGAAGTAAGAGAGATTCGAGAGGCGTTAAGAAGGCCGAATACAACCCATACTGAAGAGAGAAGAGTCAAATACTGGAATAACATCTCCGAAGAAACTGTCACTTAAACCAAGAGCAGGAGAGAATTTTCATGAATCCAAACCAGGGAAAACTAAAATGCGGCAATCTCACGGGGCTGAGGTTTCCAGGCAGAGATGCAGCCCCTTTGAAAATTCTCCAAACCTCTTCGGTGAGCTGCGGAGGTAACGGACTGCTCGTCGAGGGATGCGTGAATAAGCATCCTTTAAGAAGATCATTGATACGGCAGTAAATATAACCATCGTCAGAACAGGTGTTGCTTGGGAATTGAACAAAACGTTGCGTTGAACTCCACTCTACGTAACTTTACAGACAGTGACAGGTGATAAGATCCCGATTGAAGGTAAAATTAGCATCACCGTTACCTTCTGAAATGAGACCTAGTAGAACTTGGCTTTCGTTACTTAACATCGCGGGTGAATTAATATTCGAACTGGACTTTTACGGAAATGTGATTTACTCCGAACTTTATGCATAACGAGTTGCACTCTGCAAAGGAAGATACAGCTGTGTTTGAAATGAAAAACAGCATTCTTTCAGCTCGCCAAATAATAGAAAAAACATAAAATCATCATTCCGATGACAGAATTATGAATAACCGACTGCATAGAAAACCTCAATAGCTTCAAATTGGAATAATTTGGAATAATTGA